GATAGCCATGCCCGATGAGAGGCTCGCGAATCGCACCGTCAACCTTATCCACAACGTAGCCCTCTCGCGATTCGCTACAGGGGAATCTGTTTTCTGCGAATCGTGTCGAGGGCCTTACCAATAGTTTTCTGGAAACTTCTGGTGCTCTTAGAGGCGTATGGACGTGGGAGGGATCATTGAGATTTTTCTCCCGAGCTTTTTTGCCGATCGCCGAACGTTTCGCTCCAGTCGACGGCTCCTTGCTGCTCTTACTTAGTCTCAGTCACACTGCCTCCCTCCCAACCCGTGCCTGTCTCGGTATCTCTCTTGATGTCTCTCAGATTTTTTCTCCGCTCGGTTTCAAACGAGTTGTCAAAGGGACGAGCACGGAGCTTCGTTTCTCGGTAAGAGGAGATCTGTCTTTTCCACAACCAGGCGTTGCCGTTCCGAGAATATTCGGCATAATCCCTCCATGCGGAAAAATGGCTGGAACGATACTTCGAGGGGGGAGCTCAGCATCGCTGCTAGGGCATTTCCGTTATCCGCTTGGCTCTTCCATTTTGTCACTCGAACGTTGCGGGAATGCAGCGGTTCGGTTTCTCCGGGAGAATCATCAGAGGGAAGTTTCCAAAGACATCAATGGCTTCGGAGGATGTGTTTATCCAAGAAACGATCGCCTGACCTCTGATCCCAAGACCTAGAACAACGTTCCACCGATGAACCTCCTGGAGAAAAACATCGCTCCTAATGTTTGTTTCATTCAGAGGTAGCAGGTTCGTCTACAGAGTCATATCTGCGTTCTATCGGAATCTCTGGCGCGCACTCCGTTGATGTCTCTCCTTCGGGTCTCGATCCCAGGCCTTTCGGGTGATGGTCGAGAGCTAAGGGCACGGTGCGTCAAGCTTGCCGATGCCAAAACTTTACAGCCCGCCTAACATTCAGGCGAACGGTCCGGGCGACGACGACATCGCGCTCGCGGTGTGTTCCATGAACATGGAGGCCTCTCCCATCACATTCGTCGTGGTCACTGGCGACTGAACGAACGAGATTCCGCCGAGAGAGATCGCGCATGTGAGCAGTGGAAGGAATCAGTGGCTTGGTCCCGTGAGTGGGGAGGAGGGTAGTTCGACGGAAAGCTCTAGTCACCGCTGGACTCATGTCCATGGGAACTGGGCGCTCACGAACAGCTACGCGAAAACAGACGCAGATGAACGCCAGTTGTAAACCGTCCCGCGAGGCCACTTATGATGTTTTTCTCCTGATAGATCATAGACCTTACACAAATAGAGGGAACGTTGCGCGTTATTTATTGGCAAGCTTAATGTCAAATCCCACGCTCCATGGCGCATGGCGGTCGTACGGTGCGTCTGCCCAGCCGACGGACTTAGCTCCGCCGCGCATCCTGCGTGAGGTCCGAATACTTTCCAAAAACATCAAGTTCGTTCGGAAAAGCAACTTCCGGGGATTGGGGAATGTGATGTGGAGGCAGGAATTTCTGAAAATTCGCTCACCGAGGAAAAAATCCAGACTATGAAAAAATCCGCTCCTGGCTTTCCTCCTCGCTCAGTTCTCCTTGCACTCACTCACTCACTCTCCCCCCTCACTAATCCAACAAACTCCGGCGATCTATGTACTAATTCACTCACTCACAAACACACAAATTCCTCGCGACGGATTCACTTGTTGAATAAATCTTCCATAATGGAGGCCTGCGGCCTGCGAATAATATTCAATGAAAGATTCGACGGATGCTTTTCTCGCTCCGATCGGTACCGGTGAGCTTCCTCGTCGGGTCGCGCTAGGTAGGGCTCTTCGGGCCCCGTTTGTGCTGTCTGCGTCCCAGACTCTGAGATCCGAACCGTGGTCTCGGAGAAGACTGCGCACGTGGCTCAGGGAAAGAGTCCATGGAAAGAACGTCCGGAGGGAGGAAGGGCATCTGTTGCGGGAAAGAGGTGGACTGAGCACGCCGATCGACGGGTCCGCCCGCTCACTTTCCGATCACTAGACCACTCTGAGACTCCGGAGATCTCTCGGCCTTTGATCGTAAGGGGGGATCGCCCCGGGAAGAAGGGAACTCTGTATAGAAACAATAATCGAGTCGATGAATCGACCCATCGATTTGAGAGAAAGATATCCCTGTGTTCCAGAATACCCGTTTGTCGAGCAAAGACTTTGGGGATTCCATTCTCTCCTCGAAGCTGGACGTTCCCTAGAATATTGACGCTATTTCGGAGAGAGCCCCGTTGCAGACTGTGTCGCGGCAGGACTGCAGATATGACCGTGTGAGTGAGAACAGATGAATGTGTTCGTCTGACGAAATTCTCTCGAAATAAGTGCAAATAGATTTGATTGAGCGGACAGAGAATTTGTTCGATTGGACTTCGGCTCAATCGCTCACCCGACCGCTCTCGATCGCTCCACTACCTCACCCCACATCTCCGTCGATACCTGACCTCAGAGTTCGAGCCGCGATCGGGAGCTATTTTCCCTGGCCCCAGGCAAGGTGTGTGATGAGGCGCAAATTCTATTTCAACAAGAGAGACCAATCCACTTCCCCGGTCCCTCTGGTCTAGGTACAACAAGTGAATGCTGACTCAACGACTCCACCGTTCGACAACCTTCACCTTTTCCTCATCTTCAGCGACTGGCTATCCGTGGACCGGAGCTCTGAGGAGCAACGCCGCGAGCTTAATTTTTTCGGCACTGGAAGCAAATATCGCTCTGTTTGATGCTCAATATCTCGTCTTCGCTGACAGACTATTATCAATACGCTTTTAAGGGTGTCTGTCGGTTGGTCGAATACGTTCGAGGATGACGTTGTGTTTATTTCAAGAGAATAGACCGGGCGATGGACCATCGAGAGCCGTTTGCGACTCTCATGACTTGGTGTCTGGTAACGGTGTGGCCTGCGGCGAATCTCCCTCTCAAGCGGCAAATGACTCATTCAATAATACGGGGAATCTAGCGTTCAAGTAGATTTATGGCTCGAGTCATTGCGAAAAATAGGCTGCGACCGTAAGCTCCTATATCTTCTGATTTACGTCTCTTTGGTGAATTTCTAAGGATTCTCAGCATTCAGCATACACCTATCTGGAATTCGGCACCCGCTCGGAAACACCGTCTGGAAGACTCCTCGGTTCTCAGCATCTACATACGGAATATCGGGGACGAATGTACTGCGAATCCAGGGGAGAGGCGACGTTCATTGCTGGGCCTTCGACAAAGATGGACACATGTCGATGCGTTAAGAAGCTGATTACGAATCATGTTTTCAGATCAGCGCTCGAGAGCCGAGACCATGATGGGTTGGCAGCAATGATTGGGTCATTCATCGTCTAGCTGACCTCAAGAAACTGCGTGTTTGAGCCTTCTTCGAGAACATCTCAGGTCACGGGGGAAACAACTCGGGGAAGGATCCGGGGGGAGGGGAAGAGCGAATGTTCTACTGCTCCTAACCTTCCATCGAGCAGGATGGAACACAAGCGACTCGATGTCGGAACGGGACGTCCGTTTCCTTCGTCCGACAGATTAGTTAAAAGTTAAAGGATTTCCTCCATGGAAAGAGAAAACGTTCAGGATTCGTCATCGTTGTGGGGAGATGTCAGTGTTCACCGACGACTCCGGGGTTTACGTTCGGAGTTGTCCGTGATTTTTTCGTCGACATAATTGGGCATCGTAGACGAGCGGGTATTTCTCGGAACCTCAAAATCACCATGAGATATCCAAAGGAGCTGCGAGCTGATGAAAATATAGAAAATCTTGAGAGCATAGAGAGCATTTCTCTTTACGCCAGTGGGGGATAGCGGGCGATTGCTTCGATGTCACGTCTCCAATTGCTCAGGCGCACTGTTCCGCGACGTCGTTCTCCTTGTCGTTCATCAGGACAATTGGCTGCTAGAAATCTTCTCCTATTACCCGATCAGTTCCAGAAGCTGAGAGAGAACTTGACAGATGCTCCGTATGATCCAATGATTTCCTGGGCCGAATTCACCGGTGCTCACGGCGCTTGGGAATGATTGACGCGGAGGGAGCCCGGGAATAATTTTCCACCTGCCGCCAGTAGAAAAGTTCCGGGATCTCGGCAGAGTCCAAATATCGATGAGATCTGCGGAGCCTGCGATCTTGGGAGGAAGTCGGTCACTGTCGCCTTCACTCTTAGCCAGAAACACAACCGAAGTGTTGCGAATGTGTCGGAGATCTTTCATGTAGAAACAGCAACAGCAAACCGCCGAGCGCAGACTGCTGAACCGTGTTGGTTTTCGGGTCGAAGATTTACTCGTCTGACAATGGAAGCTAGTTCAAACCCGTCCATGGTCTATCGTTCATTTCCAAGAAGCTAGGTAAGCACACTGCGTCGAAAGGCTGCTAGACCGACTAGCTTGCTGGAATCGATGCAATGACTCACTCACACCCTTAGCCCTCAATGGGAGGCAAGTATCTGGTTCAAGTCTGAAGTGGACAAAGCAGGCGTAGGAGACGGGAAGGCGGAGTGAAAAAAATTGAGAACAGCCATCGCGTGATGACCTCATGGCCTGTCTGATGAAATTTCGCTTGACGACGAGCAGCCGTCAGAAGTTTTCTCTCCGAAGGAAAGTAGAATTTCGCGGTAGCTCGGGCTACATCTACATGAGGGGAGGGGGGAATATCCCCCGAGTTCGAGCCAGCCACAGTTCCCTCAGAAACGAGCTCAGTCTTCTTTAATCTAGCCGATTCTCTTTACCACCGAATATTTTTGTTTTTGATTCCGCTCTCCCACTCCTATTCTGAGAAATGGCGCAGTCTTTCTGTTTGACGAACTTTCGCTTACGCTCATTCAGTTTCATTAAAACCAGAGTTCGCGATTTTTTCACGCCCCTCCACTCGTTCTCGGAAATCTTCGCATATGCATTTTTGGTATTCGCGCCTGTCAAGTGCGTGAGTCAGAAAATCCGCCGGAGACTTCAAACACTCGAGGCATTACGTAAGCGCTGCCAAGATCATTGCCGCAAAGATCGATGCCACGCTTTGGGAGCAAACGTGCACGTGTGGTCGACGTTTGTTCTTCGGATGTTTGGCGGACGCTCAGGTGTTTCAGTGTCAGGGTGCGCCGTCTGAAAATCCGAGTTGAGAGAAACTCTCTCCGGGATACTACGAACGGGGCAAGCCGCCAGTCCGCCAGTCAGTTAGCCGGTTAGTGGGCTGAGCGTAGAACCGTAGAGCCGTAGCTGCTGCAGCAGCAGCCGTCGCCGCCGTCGTGTCGTACTCTCCATTTCAAGTGTTCGCCCCGCTGTCAGCGAATCAAACCGAACAACGAGCACACGAGCGGACGGCGCGTGGTCGTCGGGCGCTCTGACCAACTCGAATCATTCACGAGTTCATTTGATCTGTTCGCAGCTCCGGCCGTGCCCCTATCGAGAGGAACAATGCGAGTGAGAACCCTAGTGCTGGCACTAGCTGTGGCGTTGCCACGTTTTGTGCACGGCTCCGATCTTTATCCAGGACTTGTGTCGTTGGAGCGTACGGACAGTACAACCTTCGTATCGGAGCCGAATATTTTGGAAAATGTGACAAAACTGAAAATCAACACCGTAGCTCCAAATCCGAGGCCGAAGAAAGAAAACTTCATAAGACTTCGATCCCTGCCGAAGACGAAACTGGATTGCGTCGACAATGCACGGGATAAACAGTTCACGCTCAAGTCCGTCAGGCGGGATCTCCCCGGGACTTTCAGGTGCGACAACAAGTTCCTCTATGTATACCCAGAAGTGGAAGTGGAGATCGATCGATTTTTCAACGTTAGCTTGGACTTCCTGAAACTCCGGAGCTCGACACCGATCGAAGTCGAACCCACCGTGCCGTATGGAATATCCTTCGAAATCGGTCCGTCCACGGGCGTCGTCTTCGTTTCGGGAATCGTCACCAGGCCTGGAACCTTGTTCTTCGCTCTCGAATTTCTCTCGAGTGAAAACAAAGTTCTGTACAAACTCAGAGTCATGCTCCTCCTGAAGAAGAACGAAAACAGAGCGGACGGAATGGCCCTGGAGTTCCGGCTGCCCCCGAAAGAGACCGCGAAGGATCTCAATCTCACCGTCATTCAGAAACAAATCCGAGCGATCAAATGTGCGGCAGAGTCTTTAGCTGTGTCGCCAACGAGCTTCCACGGACTAAACCCCGAGCGGGAATTCGTCGAGAGCTCAACTCTCCGAGCTCACGCTAGTTTCGCCGGGAATGTGTGTGCTCCGGGTGCACCAGGGAGTGAAGCCACTGCCTGCAGCGATTTCATAATCGACGAAACCACTTTCTCGAAGATGAAATGCAGGGAAGTCGTCAGAGATCCGCCCGTCGGAGACCCGGGAGTCGATTCGGAAACCGACTCGACAGAAACTGAGGAAAACACTGATGACGAAACGGGTTATGTGTCCGATGTCAAGATCCAGGACGGTGAAATTATCACGCTTTCGCCTCCCATCGCCACTGAGGCTCCGAAAACAGAAATCTCATCGGGAACGACGGAGACGGTGGGACAAGCCGTTACGCCCGCGACGGAGACTCCGAGGACTCCCGAAATCAAGGAAACAGTCGATAGATCTGGTGACGAGCCATGGAACGAAGTCGACTCACGGGATCCTGCACTTCACATTCTGCCAATGAAGCCCGTGCTCCTCCACGACGGAATCCTGAAGCAGACTCAAGACGACACGAATCTGAAGACAGCGTTGTACGGAATGTTAAGTCTTTCGGCTATAGCGATTTCGGTGATCTTCGTTTTCCTTTTCAGCAAGCTCGAGCTGTGCACGAAGAAAACCGGCTACGACCCAGTGTTCGTCGCAAGACATTCGGACGAAAGCCCGAAATTCGGCTGATCTGCCCCTGTCGTGGATATGAGAAGCTGGGACACGGACCAATAGTCAAACGCTGTCTGGTCAAATTGCCTCGTGAACCGTCACAAATGTTGGTTCGGGAGATGATGAGAGTGTAATCGTTGAGCTTGGTATTGTTTATGAGTTATTGCGAATAAGTTATTGCGAGCTTGAGCAAGTGACACGAGCTCTAGCGAGTAGGTCTTTTAAAAATGTACATAACGAATACTTTAAACTTATCCGTTCTGACCAAGGACCATCGAATGCGAAGATGGACTGTTTGATTTTATAACTTCTTCTTTACTGGAATGTTCCTAAGAACTCTGTACAATACGTGAATCCGATCGCAATGTCCGGAAGTCCGATGTTGATACAATGTACAGGTCTGTGAATAAAATGAGAACTATGGATTATCGCTAATCCATGGGATTCCTACCGAATCAGGTAAACTCAATCATGATTTCTCAAATTATTGTACGATCCCAGATGCCCTACGAGCGAAAGAGTCGGTGGTCCCGAGGATGGCTTCCAAAATCAGTAAGACCCATTCGCCGTCGACGTCGAATGCGGCCAAGGCGAGCTGGTCAGGAACGATAGAAAATAGGGCAAGACATTTAGTTTGCTATGACCACGAGTTATTCACTGATAACATGTTTTTTCCTCGCGGAAAGATTCGGACGGAGCAGACTCTCAGTCGGTGGTCTGGCTCGGGGACCCGACTCACTCGTCAGATGAGTCTCTCTGAGGGTCAAGTTGGGGTTGAGCGAACCGAAATAGCGATCTCAAATATAGATTCTTCTTCCTTCAGCATTCGCTCCCGCTCCGGATCTTCTTTTGGGTCAGTCTGCCCCTTGCCGATGAGGTTCCCGACCCGAATCCGTCGGCGTTTCAACCGACCAGTCAACGAATTGGACCTCTTGCATCTAACCGAGTAGAGCGATCGATCGCGAGGGGAAGTCAGAATGAATATTCGATGCCTGCGAGGATCCCTTGTCTGCCTGAGAAAACTGTCTTGCAATCACTCTGGGATCCGATAGGATTTCTCGGATAAATTTCCTTAACCCCTTTACTCGGATTCGAATTGAAATCACGCATCGAAATCATACGGAGCTCAGGTAATGGCCGTCTTGATGCCTCAATCCCGCTTCAGGGAGCACATCCGACTTTTGTTCACCGTGGAAGAAAAATACTGATGTCTCATACCAGCATGACCGTCGGCGTCATTTCGATGATGAAAGGCTCCTGATGGACAGCTTACAGAGCGGATGGAGGGGCCTTTTCTCAAAGCGCATTACGTTAACTGCGCCTGATGTCGTTTTTGATAATTGCTTGTGCTTTCTCTGACGTGTTTCTTGTTGTTGTTGTCGCTGCTTTCGATGATGTTGCTGTTGTTGTTGATGTCGTCGTTTCCCACCGTGCTTTCCTTCCGTTCCTTACGATACCTCCCGCTCTTTCTAGAGGTCTGCCAGGCTTATCGACTCAACAAAGGCGATTCTTCAAGAAAATTAGTCGAAGGAGGAACGATACTTCCGCTGATAAGAAGTTCGGGACCCTCCACCCACATCGGAGGAGAAGTGTGATCGATCCGATCAGGGACGTCGGTGATTAAAGAATTACGACGGAATAGAATGAGTCCCGAGACACTAGAGTTTGGGAGCGTTTCTTCGGGATGCTCCGCGGAAACTCGAGCAAGAATCTACGGAACGGTCGATGTTCACTTGTAGGCGGCGCGACGGACACGACGACGGTCTGCGGCGACGCCTAGAGGTCTAGGTCTGTAGTGGCTTTTTTGACGGGACGGAGTTTATCGACGTTTCTTTTCTTACGACGGCTGAAATGTACCCTCGATACTACCGCCGCCCCTCAAGAGCGGAAAACCGAGAGGAGCACCATAAGAAAACGCTTGTGCAGGCTTTATGGAGTTAGAATTGACGCGTCGACTGTCGTCACTCCACCGCGAACAAACCCCTCAGCGGCAGATGCCCGCGAGAAAGTCGAGCGCCTACTCGACTAAGTCCATGTCGACGACCACCGTCCCTCAAAAGCAAGACAGTTGTCGGAGCTCAAGTGAGGGGAGGCACCGGACGAGAACGAGAAGTGGATGAGCGAAACGCCGGCGATAGCGCTCATGCTAGCCCACGACACAGAAACGTGAAGGGCTCAAAGGTGAATCGGCGATGGGAGAACGATGAATGGTCGTCGTATCGCTCGACGATAAGAACCTTAACGACATGATGCCGCGTGAATCACGAGCTAATCGATGGAGCGCGTAAGAGATCCCGTGAGTCAATGAGCGTAAGGTGGCAAACAGCTTCAGCAACAAGCCTCCAATTTCCTCGGGTCTCGTCAAGGAAAAAATGTCACTTACATTTCCGTCTCCCTACCGGCAGTACTTCTAGGTCTGCACATCAGAACGGACGTGGAGTGTGCGCTACGACCCAGAACGAGGAGCCGACTCAGCATGGGACGATCATCGAGCCGCCCGAAATCCGTCGAGGAAATAACATACACTTTTCCCCCGCCCGAGGGTGGGATCCCCCTCGCGAAATGTTAGAAGATCATCTGAGAATTATCCTCTTCGATTTGGAGACCCAAGCAGAGAATGGGCTACTATTTACGTAGGTTGTCCGGCACTTCCATGAACTTCTGTAGACACCGAGTTTATGTCTTCGGAAGAGGAGCCTCTCATTGTTTGTGGAGGACTTTCCGAATTTCCAGGAAACTTCTGTTTACGGTGCGGAGTGAGCACTCGAGGACCCTTGAGCGTCAGCCGTGGAAAGTCGAGACTCCCAAATGATTCCAGAGTTCGTTCAGATATCGCGCGCGGTCGGCTCGGTTCGACTTAGGGATTGGTGCAGAGCGTTTCCGGCTCACTGGATGATTCCTGGTTCCTTCGACGAAAAAATCAAAAGACTGACTGGCTGACGTTTTGAACATCTACACTGTATGCCATTTGCGCCGACTCACAGAACGTTCTGGGTCAGCCCTTGACTAACAAAGGTGCGAGTTTTTGTTTCTTCTAGCTGTATTGACACAATGCGAACGGAGTCGAACGACCGTTCACCACGAATCCTGTGTTCGATGGTGATGAAGCGCATAAATTTCAATGAGCTTCATCATGAGATGGAGTATTCCTCCTCACTTGGTCGGCCGACGAGACTTGCTGTCGGTGCTAATGACGACCGATCCACAATGTCACAAAATTCTCAGAAGACTCGTTAGGCGAGTCGAGAAGCGCTTCCGAAAGTCGTCCGTGGCATCTTCTATTCATTCACATCCCTGTCGGGATCAGGCTCGCGACCGGATCGTGAGGAGTTCGATCTTGAGCTCTGACCTCGGCCCTGATCGTGGGAATAATAATATACGATTCTGGGCGGAATCTCGTACTCCGTGGGAAAAAAATCGAAACACGGAAGTCTTAGCGAGGGAGCCTATTGTGGGATTCAGAACAATATATCCTCTATACGCCCACAGTTCTTCTCTGACTCCCGACAGGGAAGTTCCATAGTCAGCGGCTCCATCGATTCGTTTCCGGAAGGATTCGACCAAACAAACTCCTTCTGTTCAGCAAGCAGGTACGGGTGATATCTCCGCCATGTCCGCAGCGGGAAACTTCCGTTCCCGGATATCGCTCTCGATCCAGAACATTATGACTTATGATCTTATCGAGGATCGCATATTGGCATCAACAGAACGTGGAGTCGTGGATACGTGGACTTCATTCGATTCTGAGGACATAATATGATTCAGACTTTTTTCCATCGTAATATACATAGCTCCCCTCGACCACCTAGCACTCAACCCACCTAATACTGCTGCGTGAGAATGTCGAGACCTGATCCGTTTCGAGCGGGAGTCTGAAATTCGGTAAGCTCTCATAGGGAAAACGCTTCCGCCGTCGGTTGCGGGCGCCAAGAGCATCAGGCAGATTCTGCTTAGATCAACTCGTTCCGTGATCGGCGTTCATTGTCGGCGTTGCTTGATCCCATATCTGCTCTAGTCGACACAAGATATTTGAAAACAAGTCGATTCGCGTTCAACTTTCGTTCTGTGCGCAATGCTCTTTGAAATATTAAGTCGCAGAATAGTCTCTCGCTTGGAGCCGCGGTTTCCAGCGAAGTAAACAACGCGGTTTTCCTCAAGACCGGCTGACTCACCAATTTCTTGTTGACTAGGCAAGAAGACAGTGGCGAGTTGATCTCATCAACTTCGATTCGCGAGCCAGCACTCATTAGACTGGAGAGTAATAGACATTTCAATGAACCTTGTCTGACAGAGTCCCGGTCGCTAGCGACCCTTCAAGGGACCCTTGCGGAATTGATTCCTCATTCGTCTCTTGGAAAAGCCGGGAATCCGGGATTCGAAACTCCGCTCCTCGCACAGGATGGGATGCGAATACGAATAATTATCTATAGAATTAGAGCAATTGGAAGGGAAAATCGGGGATGATCGTGATTCTCTCCCAATGAGTCGAGGGAGAAACGTGGTCTGATTTCGAAGAAATCAGAAACTCGAGCTACATATCAGAGTGAGACATAGAGTATAGAATGGCGATGACGACGAATTGTTGGACGCTGAATGCGATAGCCGGTGGTCCGGTCAACGAGTTCCTATCGAGACGCTTCGTTCTCTTTTTAGCTCGGTCAGGAATGGACGCAGACTCCCGACCGGTTCACGGCTGTGCCTCGACGATGGTAGCGTGGAAATTTCTCAAGTTCTCGTCTCTTCCAGACCCAGGGAATCTCGTCGCGGGGCTCGGAGTTCTGTCGATCTCAATTTTCAGGAAGGACTCCAGTCTGAATGAACTCGCGGGAGCTTTGTCGAATAGAGGGTTCCCCGAGCGGAAGTCGGCTCCCTCACCACGTTTAATCCGTCGCTCGTATTCACTCTCGATCGGATTCGGCCCGGTGCATCAAGAGATTCTTTTGCATGAGATGGAGAGCTATCGACTGTCGTCCGTCGGCCTGTTCGAGCAGATCGCGAATAGCTTCTTTGGGGAGCAATATGTGGAGGGGGCTCCGAGCGGAAGATGGGGAGGGATTCGAACCGATCGAAAAACTGCTTCTGCGGATCAAGCATGCCTGGCTGAGTTGTTCAAGCAAATCTTAGTATATCCGCCCGGCGCGAGTCATGCGTATTCATGACGACCGTCGACTTACTGCAATGCAGTGCATGTTCCTCTCTCAGCGGATTATTACAATAGAAATTTCAATTTTTATGACTTTCCTCGGGCGCCCTCACTCCCTATGGAGCATCCCCACAACTTTTCGTTCCCTCTAGTGGACAGGATTCGGCCGGGCAGCATAGGGAACCCAGTTATTCGTCGCTGCGAGAATGAGTTTAATATTCGAGCGCGTTCATTAGCGAGCGCTCGTAGCGCCATTGACACCGGAGGCAGGGTGCCCGGCTGTGTGGGATGCGGGCTCCAAAACCATTCTTCTGTACTTATATCAACGTTAACTCCGCGCTTGGCGGGAAACGCGACGCTAAACTTTTTTTCTGGCGGAGAGAAGCTCTCCCTGCTGATCCACACGGGACGGAGATCTAGACGTTGCTCTTCAAAATGAGAAATAAGAACGGAATGAAAAGCAGTGGCTCGAGCGTTTGAAATCTGTTGTTTCCTCCCGGACACATTCTCTTCCGTGGTGAAAACCCGGCGAGTTCCGAACTGAGGAAAAACTTGAAGAACTCCGGAGCTCCGGACTACTCGCCTCGGGGAGCCAGAGACTCGGAGCCCCTTCGAAGCCTCACGTACAGACTTCGGCGGGTTGCTCGATGCTGTCAAGAAGGTGGGAGTTGCTTGATGGAACATTCTGCTGTGGGTTGAGAATTTCTTCGCGGAGTATTGGGGAAAATAACAAAATGACCCCCCGGAACATTCCCTCCCTATGCTTCACGGTTGACCGCACCATGTACGTAACTCAGCTGGGCTGGGAGGGAAAAATTGGATCCAACTAATTTTCTTCCCGCGGTAGCGGAGTCGGCGTTCCGGCAGCGATCGGCGTCGCCAATTCGTCAAAGGAAGCTCGGAATCTTCCCTCCATCTGGGTTACGAAACTTGAGTAGGATCTGCCCTCGTTCAATGATCGTTTCGGGTTTTCTCTCGGGGCCGGGCTCCGCTTTAGCGGATTCCCCGATGGGGGACATTCGCAAGGTGCACATTCCGTAGAGATGCTCAATTCTGATGATTATCTGATGCATGGACTCAACATTTGCGAAACTCATGCACGCGAATCTCCGGCTGAATATTCACATTGCCACGCTCCTTACGGACAATGAACCTCACGGAGTGATATATCGCGTCCGTCTATGTTTCGTCGCGAATAATTGACCCACAATCAGCCTAGTCTCACCAAAGCAGTCAATCTTCATGGAATATGCCGCGCTTGAAGCAGAGACATTTTTCTGAACGCTCCGAGCAGAGTTTGAAGACACATTATAAGCTCTGATTGAGAACGGATCTGCCTTTCATGATTGGGAGCTAAGAGCTCTGCTGAGGTCGAGTTCGAATGCTGCAGGCTTCATCCGAGACTAATCGCGAACGAAAATTGAATATAATCTGTAGGAGCTCCTGTACGCATGCCAAAAAAAGATGATTCAGTTAAGGTTTGAAACATATGTATCACTGGCCATAAGGGCGCCATGGTTGAAGAGCTACCCATATGCTAGAAAGCAAGGCTAACTTGAGGGACTGGTAAATCTTGCGGAGAGCATGCGTCTAAGCAGCTTGAAAAATATATCTTGACCCCACTGAGGTGATTGGGCATCTATTGAAAGGAGTTGTGAGTCTGTTCGGGGGAGCAAAGCGGAAAGAATCGGTCAGTCGACGGACAGACAGTGTGACTCTATTCTATAGGGGTATATAATCGAGTCTCGATGGCATTGCATTGAAACCTCGACTTTTTTAACCATTTTCACCATCGATCACCTATTGGATATTATCAAGCCGAATCTCCGCGAGTTGATGCACTCGAATCGAAGGCTCCGGTAGTTGACGAAATCTTTTTGTTTTGGAGCCTCCCCGCGATACTCTCAGAAATCATGTCAGATAGGTCACTCGAGCGCAGCCTCTTCGCGTGCTTAAAGCGAGTTTCTATCTTCATTATTGTGTCGAGAAACTCTAATATGTGCACGGATAACTCGCGGCTAATCCAAAGCCTTAGTCAATTTCGTAGTCAGCTCCAATGAATGAATATTGACGGTTCGCGCCGTGTACACGCTGCCGTCGGAGAGAGGTGATGTTGTGATCACAGCCGCGGCGGCAGAATCCCAGCTGTTTGGAATTGAATCGCCGGCGCCAACTACTGACTCCGAGAGAACGTCACCCGTGGACGCAGGAAGTTGAGCGGAGCTCATCGGGCTCCTTTGCGTCAATCGTGCATTTTGTCGACCGATTTTTCCCGGATGGAACATGAGTCCGCTCCCCCGACAATATCATGAGCGGGGCATCTTCTGAGGAACGCGACGATGATTGTGAGGTTATTCGAATATTCATCACACAATTTTAGGTATAGGATCCCTTTAGGATCTAGCGGTCCACCGAAGTGAGAAAATACTCAAGACGACCCGTTTCCCCTTCCAGTCTTGGAGGACCTAGCGGTCGCGGACGTTTATAGACATAGCCAAGGTTTGTAGGCGATTGTCATTCAGTGCAAGAGGACATCTCCAGACCCATATGCTTATCTTGGTCCTACTCCATTGTGAAGTTCACAGTACTCGAATTCGGCATATCGTCCCAGTGATACGCTTTTTTCACAGATGCAGCAGCCTGCGCCTTGAAACCAACCTCCCTCCTATCCCGATTCCCTGGTGAGACGAATGGAAGCGATAAATGCTCTAATAAGGATACTTTCGGCGTCCTGATAACGAATACCGCATTGATCGTCCTTCGCTTACTTCTCGCTTCTGACTGAACCAGGCCTCATTCCCCTGAAGAGCGATTTGAGCTTGTACCGTGGATCCGTGAAATGCGGCGCTCGCGATGTGGAGTTGGAGTTACGGTGTGATGCCGACGGAATCAAACTGCAAACAGAAGACGTACAGCTATCGACCCTGCAAAAGAGGCTTGAAACTCAGAACCCGGAGTTTTTCGCAAAGATCCGCTCAATCAAGGATCCGAATCGCTTCCTCCATGAATTCTTAAGCGCCGCAGAAACGTCAGTCCTCTTTTCGCGATTGCATGTCCCGCTCAACCATCCTCTCCATCTAAGGCGAGCGGGGGATTCACGAGCCAGATATCCCCTTGATTCAACATACGAGCAGATGCTGCTGATTTTCCAGACTCCGAGACCACGATGGAAATCAGAAGGAGTATCAACCGCTGAACGCTCTGACGTATCGATCTGTCTTCGAGAAGCTGCAGAAAATCGGCAGGGAATACTTCTGCGGAATCGACAAAGACTTGGTGACTTTGCGGGTGGGCGGTGAGCGAGAAATTCAAACTGACTCGAGCTATGACTCTACTCTTCAGTTGAGCTTCAACCAATCGATTGAAGTACTCTTTGCCTGTCACAAGGTTCCGAGACGAAATTCGCATGGGGACTACGGAAAGCAGCGACGATTATAATTCTGGTCTTGTCATGCGCGTGCAGATCTCGAGATGACCTACAGCTTATCTGCGGAAGCCATCAAGTCGGCTACCGTCCCTCAATCGCTCCTCAAAGAGCTCTCCTCCAGGAAGTGTGACCTCCTCGATGCGTTCAACTCTTTCAGGACGAAAGCCGAGCAACTCCGCAAGTTCTATGAGTCTCTCGAATGTGCGTTCTCGGACAATCGTTTTTAATTTGAACACCTCTCAAACGGTCGCTGATTCATCTCCATGCTTGGCCCCCTCAACTCCTCCGAGCTATGCCTCATCTCTACATGATATGTTCGCATTTTGTTGTAGCGCTGGACCAATCTACCTGGGTCATCGATCCCTCTGATTTGAGACAAGCGTATCGTCGAGTCGCTCTGGAAAAATCCTCAATACTTCAGATCACGTTCCTCGATCCGCTGCAGACAGGAGAGCCCCCGATCGTGAGTCCATTGAGCGGAACAATGAGCAGCTCCTCTTCCGCGCGCTCTATATTTCGATCCCTCGATCATAATTCTCGAAAAGTACTCTGATTCGCAGTTGGAGTTCTTCGGATGCCGGAGCTCCTTCCAGGATTTCGCGAGTCTCTTCAAAGACCGCAAATGGAGCCGCAAGTGGAATCCAGTGGTCGACGTTCTGGAAAATCTAAGGATAGCTTTCGGGGAAACTATCAAGTTTTTGCCGAAAGAGGAGACAGCCGAATGCTCGATTGCATGCGCGATATGCTACGCATACCTGCTCGGCGATCAAACACCAAAGGCATGAGCCCATTCGCATGCCGGATATTCAATCGCTATGTTCCTCGCTGGACGAATCCAGGAAGGAGCGTTCAATTATGCGCATTTTGTTGCAGGTGTTCTGCGAGAACTCGCAATGTCACCGGCCTTATCACGAGGAGTGCTTCAGGATTTGGGCTCTGGAACAGGAAGCTGAGCACGGGCTGCGGAGGGCTGTTTTGACTGCACCTTGCGTCTACTGTGAAAAACAAATCTTGCTCACGGCCGCTCAGTGATGCACGCTTGGAAAACACTGCATTCTGACTCCGCTAACCCGAGCCGAGAAGACTCTCTCTAACTGTGAGATCGATTGAGTCTCAGATGCGCTGCGAATAAAACGTCTGAAGTGAAGTCCGCAAAATTCCTCGTGCTCGCGATCGGGGCGATCGATTTCATTCCCTGATATCGGCATTTGAAATCGTCTCATGAATAATTTTATTCTGATAAGTCTCATCCTGGAATTCTCTGTCCTTAGATATTCGGAGCTGGTTCTCTGGAAAACTGGACATTTGAAAGAGAGGAACTAGGGTTAGGAATCCGAAACATCCTCTCTCGATCTCCGCTCAAGTAAATCCACCGTGAAGCGCACGCGTCCCACGAGAAATCGTGAGAGCTCCCGGTCGCGCCGGCGCCATTCAAAAGATCGCGCGCCCTCACATGCTGGCGCGAGTGGTTTCGGTTCAACACGACTGTGTTAACATCCGGTTAGGGCTCTTTCCTTTTCTATTGGAAGTTTGTAGTCACACGTGGCTCGCTTCCAAAGGTACGTTTTCACTGTTATTTCAAAGCGTTTTGTGAGAGTTGAACTGTGGTTGGGATCTCCAGTTCGTTCGGTATGAGAAAAGTGAGAAAAGTCTTTGAGTCCCGGCGCATTTCGCGTCCGCAGAGGGGAGTAAATTGGCGGCGAGGTGCGACGCCGAAACCGACCTCCGATTTCAATGAGTTTATCGTTCATGAAGCGTCCTATCTGCCAAAGCCGGGCTCTCTTACCGCTGTAGAGACCTGGGCTTGGATTCGAGTTGTGCAAAGAACGCTTGTCCCGAGAATCCAGACCATATTTCGGGGAAATCGAAGAACTTGGTCACAATCTGTCTCGATTCCATCCGGCAGCGAGTTCCGTCCGATGTCCGGTGAAGGAATAATGTCGAGGTAGCGAAATTGCGGAGTATCTGTGATTAGGTGTGAAATTCCGAGCGCCGTCTCGCGGTGGGGCGATTGGGAGCTTGACACAAGTTTACATCGACATAATTCTTCGAGTAGACTTGGAGCAAAAGTTTCCCTAAAGCGATGACTAGTTAGTCATAGTCCCTGATCCTGTCGCTCAGAGGATCAGGTCTCCAAGGCTCGCGACAATTTCGATGAAGCCATGAATATGAACTCCGTTACGCTTCCGAAGTGTTTCCATGCTTCGGCGTGTAACCGAAATTCTCTGACACCTCGGGAGCTTGACACACGTTTTTGTGCGAGATTGAACGAAATCGCTTTAAACGTGGAGCAAAGCCTCCCCAAATCAATCCTGGTTAGTCATAGTTCCCCACCATCCCACAGATGATGGAGTCTCTAAAGCCTGGTACAAAGCTTCGATTTTCTGAAATCAAGAATCGACTTCTCCGATGTCTAATCATGAATATCCCATGCTTCAATACGGAGGAAGCCCCGATGAGGGGATCCACATACCGGTCCTCACGCACTGTCTCTTAACCCATGCTATTCTCCTTACAGGAACCATGGGACGCCGTCCGGCGAGATGTTATCGTTACTGTAAGAACAAGCCCTACCCCAAGTCCCGTTTCTGTCGTGGTGTCCCCGACCCGAAGATCCGGATCTACGACCTGGGTAGGAAGAAGGCCCGCGTCGACGAGTTCCCGCTCTGCGTGCATCTCGTGTCGAGAGAATTCGAACAGCTCTCTTCCGAAGCTCTCGAAGCCGCTCGTATCTGCGCCAACAAGTACCTCGTGAAGACCTGCGGTAAAGACGCCTTCCATCTGCGTGTTCGTCTCCATCCCTTCCACGTCCTGCGAATCAACAAAATGTTATCGTGTGCCGGAGCTGATAGGCTCCAGACTGGAATGCGAGGAGCTTTCGGTAAACCTCAAGGAACCGTGGCCCGTGTCCGCATCGGACAGATCATCATGTCCGTTCGCGCGAAGGAACAGCACCGCGAAAACGTCGTCGAGGCTCTCCGTCGTGCCAAGTTCAAGTTCCCCGGTCGCCAGAGAGTGTACGTCAGCCGCAAATGGGGTTTCACGAAATGGGACCAGGAAGATTACGAAGTCATGCGTCAAGATGGTCGTCTGAAGCCCGACGGTGTCATTTGCCAGTACAAGAACGGTCACGGACCATTCGAGAAGTGGTGCCAGATCCAACGAGAACTCAAGGCGGTCTAAATGGTCGAGGGAACTTTGAATAAATGTCGCCTTGACTGGAATTCATCCTGTTTTATTTTGTTCGTCGGCAGAGATTTCCGTGTTCAATCGCTCAATATTGTCGTACACGTATTCATCAAGAAGGCTTTTCCTTGAGTTTTCCGAGTTGTCCGTTGAGGGGCTTTGCGCGATTCGCACCTCTAATCTTTTCTGGATTACTCCCGCCCCCCGTTCCGTCTCCGCGAATTCGCCAGAAGTTTTTCATCGAACCAGCTGTGGCCTCATTGTTGAGGTTCATTCAGTCTCTGCAGAGTCGGGAGTCGAATTCCAATGCACAATGTGTACTGCTTGAGACTCCGCTGAAGCACTCCGGGGTGTCCCTCAGGACCTCTAGAGTTATGCTCATACGAGCAATCAGAACCTAATCTTCGAATGGGATCCATCCACAAGGAGCTCTGATCCTTGATCCATGAAGCTCCCCTTATGATTTCTGGCTCCTTAGATAATCCCAATCCGGGGCACCTATTCATTTCCAGCCTTATTCCGCTGGATCTCGCTTAATGAAAACCTCCGGGAGAGTTTCTGATGAATGAAGGTGACGAGAAAAAGAAAACTCCACTGTATCGGAGCCGTCGATAGCGAGAGCTTGGCTCAATCTCATCTTACTCAAAAAGTACGCAATAAGTTTTCCTTTACAGTTTATTGTCTCAACCAGCTCAAGCTTCAGCAACAACGTGGCCTTTTTCAGAGACGTAGATACCGTCAAGGAATTTACGGATATCCTTGTTCTTCACCAAGGTGGATTGCCGAATGCGAGCAGCCGAACGAGACACCGACTCGATGTCATTCCCTGCAGGTCGAGAGAGAGGCTTGATTAGGTTCGGGGAGAACATTATCCCACGTGCAATCGGTTTCGAAACTCTTGGACTGGAATCAGAGCCAACAACACGTCTTGTGATTCGAAAGCTCCGGAAAGAACACACCGTGGACTGAGAGAACCCCAAGCCACGGGGCGCCTCCACCGAATCTATTCGAATCTCAGTGAATGGATTGTCGTTATCATCACTTCAACTTCTCTTCGATCGAGGCACATGATAATGGGAAAGAAGAATTTTCAAAATATGTACTCGATTTTCGCGTCGAGTCTGCCAGGGGGAATCAAACGATTGCTCACCTTCGAGGATGAGCTCGTCTTTCTGAGCCGGCGAGTTGATGCAGGTGACGCCGACCTGCATCCTGACGCGACGGATGAACTTCTCGCCCAAGAAGTTCCTGATTTCGACGAGGGTGTTCTTGTCGGAGATGACGACGTTGATGGGGAAATGAGCGTAGACTGTCCTCATCTTGTACTGGAAGCCTCGGGTGACTCCAACGATCATGTTCTCGACGTGAGAGCACACGGTACGGACGGTGGCGAGCTCTTTCTTGATACCGAACCATTTGCGCACGACCAGGGTTCTCGAGTCAGGCATCTCCATCTGCACCTGAACATGGTTGAACTTTTTCGTGAGAGTTCCCCGAGGTCCGGTGATGGTGACCACCCGGCAGCGGACCTTACAGGTCACTGAAAATCGAGATCGGAGTTCATCTTTAGTTTCGGACAGTCTACGGATGTCTGATCGCACGCTCGCGGTCAAATAGTTTCAGGCCGGTTTTCTAATCTTGCCGGGAAGCATCTCCGCCCGTTTCGGAAGCTCCGTCCGAGAAAACCTCAAACGGAACCCCTCCGCAGGTTTGATGCTCCTCGTCATAGAATGGATTAAGGCTTTCATCATGACGGAATTCACTCTTCTCCCGCACCTTCCCGTCAAGCCTTTGGAATCGAGACTGAGGCACAGCTCGTTCGATGGGCTCGTTTGCATCTGGGAGCCCAACAGCAAAATCAGTGAAAGAAACACTCACCCGAGTCCGGGATTTTTACGGTTTGCTCGCTGACGATGGTTTTCATTGCAACCTTTCTGAAAAAGTAAGTCACGTCAAAACGATTGACTTCTGTGGATCTGAGGCGTCCGGCGACTTCAATAGCACACGTGTTTTGCTTGCTCAGACGAGAGCCAAGCTCTGTGAGTTCGATTTGGCTGACAGGATTCCCACTGCCGCGTGGATCGCTCAACCAGCGCTAGCTAGAAACTCAGCGTCATCGAACACGGTTTTCTGCCGTTCAAAGCGTCTGATCTATGAACTCAAGCAACGCAAGCTCCTTCAATGGGTTCGAACTGCCCTCGGTCACAACACTGCCTTCCGGAGCCTGCTGCTCCGAGGAACTCCGTCGTTTCGATCGTATTCAACGCGGAGGTCGCTCAGGAGTCTTGAAAGATCGATCTGACACATGTTTTCAGTAAATATCCAGCATAAATTCATCGATTTTTGCGGATAATTCTCAACCTGCGGCACGTACCGAGAAAGGGCCACCGAAAAAGACTCCACAGTGGTTTCGTATTCGTGTCGCCATGTTCGACGGCCAGATGGATGCATGACGCGCCAAAGTCAAATTGTATCTTGGAGCCCGTACACTGCACAGACTGCACACCATAGGTTAGAAGCGCAGCAAAGCTAAGCGGTATTTCAGAGAATTCCATGGATCTCTGATATTGAACACGTTTCGTGGACAGGCGCATCAGGTTCCAGGTTCATAGGAGGCGAACACATAGGAGACGGTTCCTCGCCGGCTCGCGTCTTCTTCTGACAGCTTCATTCTCTCTGACGCTGAAGCTCTGACCAGAATCGGATACAACTCAGTTGCGGGAGGAACTCCTCTGTTCGGAACCGCGTCCATCGCCTCTTTCGGATACGTTCCGCTGAACTCCCGAATTCGGTAAGAAGAAGGTTGGCATCTACCGCTACTCCCAACCGGAGAGATCGGTCTTCGTAGATGGCTCCCCACAATTCAGATGTTGAGGAAGATCGCGGCGGCATGGAGCTTCTCACGACTTCCGGAGGGGGGACGGGAGGCAGCTCCAGACGAGTCGAGAATTGGCAGGACCCGGGGAAAGACGCCGCCTCCGTTCAACGGGGTTCGAACTATGTACAGATGCGAGGAGGCTCGAGGAAAGGTATCCGGGACCCTCCCGATAGCAGCGTCGGAAACAGTCGAGATAGCGGGAATTCCCGGGAAACATAAGTTTCGCATCGATAATTATGATACTCTTCCTCCTCAATGACGTTACAAAACGAAGATTCGCGAACGATACGGGAATCCCAATGAGCGAGGGAAGATTTCGAGCCTCGTGATCGGAAAGTTCTTCGTCGGATAAGGAAGGGAGATGATCTGCCCACCTCACGGTAATTAAATCGTTAATGGTTAATGGTTTATTGTGATCCAGATTGAGGTGTATATCCGTTTGTTTGTGTATACACAGTCGATCAGCCTTTCATATCAGGCGCGAAATTCGGTAGATCGTTGTTTGTCCCAGTCCTCCAGGATTCTTTTTTCCTCCTTACTTCGGTTGCATTGTTCGCTTCTTCGTGGAGTCCGAGACGGCACAGGAGTTCTTCCGCCGTGTGGTAGATGTCGTTGCATTCGAAGATGACGTCTTCCATCGTCTCCTCGTAGATGCCAAACCTGGGACAGGTTTTGTCGATTCCGGGGTACATCTTGTGAGCTCTGGTTGGCAACATGTTGGCTCTGGCCAGAGCTAGGAGGGCGCTCCCTTTACTGTTATCGTAGGTGAAGCTAGTCACACCTCGAGTCTCATTTCCCATGGCGTAGGTACTGAGGCTCGCCTTGAGGAGCATGTTGTCTCTCCACATCGCCTCTTGGGTCTCTCGTAGCCTCTCTTTGATCCTTTTGTTGAAGATATTCGAGCGCGGGCGTCCTTCTACATCGAATTGGAGACTGATGTCTGAAGACTTGTATTTTGCTCGAAGTCGTTCGGTCTCCTGGTACGCCTCGTATAAACTCACCAATTAATAGCAGAGGTATCGATGGAATCATGAAGACTACGCAATTACTATCCCACGCGCCTTGTTTCCAACCTTCATTGGGATCGTTAGATGTCTCGTTTCGATGGACCAGCGAACTCCGACTAAGCTCCCTGCCGCAGCCGAGATCGGAGACCCCCGCTCGCTGCTCCGCAATCGATGGGACATCCTTGAGCTCATTCCCCAGACTTCAGCACGCTTCTCAGAAGTTCCAAGCTTATCTTTTTGTTTGTATTTGGGGTATGTGGAGAACACCGAACAGGCCGACAGAAAGATAAACGGGCTCTTGCAACTTTCAGGCGTCGTCCGGCAATGAAGCCGATCTGATTCTGCCCTTCTACGAAGAAAGCGTAAGTAAACAGAGATTGTAGGGTATCAATATTGAAGCTGAGGAAGACTCCGAGCAGAGCTACCGAGAAAGACTTCAGAGACCTCTAGGATTTCCGATATCTGCCTGCACGAAGGATTCGGCATCAAGATCATTCGCGCTAGTTTCGGGAGATGGAGACTCGCTCATTGAAATGCATATCCTGCGATCGGAGCGAATTTCAGAACACTCATCGTCAGCTTCAGCGATCTTGCCTCGGAGTTGAATCTCTCGTCAGAGCTTTGTGATTCGTGAATAGAGCGCAGAGTCGCTTCTCAGGTTTCTCATCCCGCGGGTCCTCGAGTTGATTCTTGCAAAGGTTCGGAGGATAGATCTTCAACAACTCCCGAAGATTCGAAAACCGCGCCTAGCGGGCGATCAACGCCATTTGCCAACATGGCCGCCCCTTTTGGAGGAACCGTCCGATCCGTCGTCCGGCGGAATTGGCAGGAATTCGATGCCTGTCTCTGATCGGCCACCTCCATTAGGCAGTCTTCGATTCTCGGTGCCGGAAACCCGTCGATCTTCCTTCCGATATTGTTTCACCAGTTACGTTCTTAGAGTGAGGGAGGAAGTGTTTCCGAAACCGAACCATATCGAGAGACGACTCGGTCATCTCAGGTGACCAAGTGCGTACTCTCCTTCCGAGTGCCTGATCGAAACTTTAGTGGTTTTCGTTGTTGACAAAGTTCGTACTCTCCCTGAGTGCCTTATCGGATCTGTCGTGGTTTTCATTGTCGATGACAGAGTGCCTTGTAGCCTGAGGTAGAAATGGCAGCTGCACCAAAGTTCGACTCGCTGCAGGATGAAGTGGTCTGGTACAAACAGAAGTACGACGAGTGTCAGGCGGAATTGGAAGAGTTCCAGACGAGCTCTAAGGAGCTCGAATTGGAGCTAGAGACACAGCTGATGCAACTCGAGAAAGAAAACCGCGATCTGAAAAGTGTCAATCAGAAACTCGAGCAGGAACGGGATGTTTACGCTGAAAAGTTCACCTTAGTCACAACGGAGCTCAAGGAGCAGCTCGAGCAGCTGGACGACGACCTCAATAAGGAAAGAAGCTTCAACGAGGAGCTCCAGAGGCACGTCCGCGGCCTTGAGCAAAACAACGACGACCTTGAACGAGCGAAACGGGCCTTGGCCGCGTCTTTGGAAGAGTTCGAATCACGGCTCAACAACGCGATCGAACGTAACGCGTTCCTAGAGAGTGAACTCGATGAAAAAGAACAGCTCTCAGCCATGGTTCAACGACTCAAAGAAGAGACACGGGACCTGAAGCAAGAACTCCACGTACAGAAGAGAACCATCCCGAATGGATCTTCATCAACAGGTGGCGGTGTCCAAGGAGCGGGCGCCCCGGTCACGCCTGAAAAGAAGAAAACCGTCGGCTCATCTCCGTCCGGCCGGGCAAACGCACTCGACATCGTCAATGATCTTTTACGCAAAGTCGGCACGTTGATGAATGTCGCTCTGACTCCACCACCGACACGTAGGAGAACAAATTCTAAAAAACTCTTCGAAGCCAACAATAACGGAGAATCCATTCGCGAGGAAGGTACGACGAGTTCGGGCTCTGAGCACCATAATCGTCGCAAGTAGAACTTGTTTGGGATATGTTGGAATGAAGAGATTGAGCCACAACTTTCGTGGTCCGGACGGGCATGTACATTGTAAATAAAATAGCTGCAAGCGCGTGTGTACAAAATCGAGAATCATGCGATTCTTTCGTTATTCGGAGCGAGTGCCTCAGAAAGGGGGAACTTCGAGTGAATGAATGAATAAATTAATTTATCAAGGAGAGATCGGAACATCTTCGGCTCATACTGTCTCTGAACCTCTTCGAATACGTTCCCATCGTCTTCTACATCCGTCACATCGAACCCAACGTATTCTCCTGGAGCTGCGCGAAGAAGAAACACATCGAAATTATCCGAAGCTAGAGAAGCAGCTTGTATGTAGGTCATGTGTCTGCGAAGCGGGATGTATGAAACAGTACTTTGGGTTCTGATAGCTCGCCCACTGCTTACGGACCGAAAGCTTTCTTGACGGTTGGATATCTCAGCTAACATTCTGAGTCGGAGAGTCAATCTGGCCCGGACAGCTCAGAGCTTTTCAAGCCACGAAGCGCTCACTATATGGCTCTGTCCTTTCTTGGGGGCGTCGGTCGTTGAGCATGCCGTCATATTCGAGAGTCCAGATGAGTGCTGCGTGACGCGTCAGCAAGAACCGCCGAGAATGCCTGGGACTTCCGCCGGAAATCATATCGCGGATGCGGAGTGAAGGCTGCGGAGTGAAGGCTGCGGATGAAGCGACAATTTTTTTCTGAATGACTTCTCCGTGCAGGAATCTGCGAGTGGGGTCTGGTAAATAGAGGAATGTCATGAGGTGTGATCGCGACGACCGCCGGAACGTATCGAAACAGAGGAGACTGGAAAGAGGTTATCGCTCTCGAAATTCCGATCCGAGATCTCCGGGTCCTGGGAATCAATGAGGTTCTGTTCTCGACATCTCTGGTATGTTAAGGTAGGTCCCAGGATGATTCCTGGCATTTCTTTGATGCATCTCGAATCGAGAATTATTTTCTCGGTGAGTCGCTGTAATATTTGAACTCGTTGTCCGAGTCGATGCTTAATGCTGCTACCAAGGTGATCATCGGGAGGAATGATTCCGGAGCATCGAGAAACCGATGAACAGACGAGCCAGCGATCGAGCGGAGCGGAAGGTAGCGGTCGAGAGCTGCTCTGTTTTGAAGGTTGAATGTTAACACGGCTTGAAACAATATTTGGCCTCGTCTAACCGCGCGTTCGATGAGATATCGAACGAATATTCCGCTGAGTCAGTGAGTGATGATTCCCGGTGGGCTTTTTCGGGGGACTGGCTCGCATTCCCTCCGAACCTTTTCGACGGGGATGTAAGATCATATCGATTTGAATTTTAGTACTTTATCGACCCCACATTCAGACCCCGGAATTGAGAAATGCGGGGCGAGGACCTCAGAGCCAGAACCGCTATATCGACGCCCTCTGAACTAGAATCCGGAAGGTGAGGGAGCTCCCGAGAGGATCATTGTGGGCGCGGGACAATCGGAATACGAGATCGCTCGGTTTGCGGAATGATATGACATGTTTCCGATAAGTGTCGGGTAGGATAGCACTCGCGGATCGGTAAATGTTGGCGCGGTCGCTTCTCCCGGGACGGAGTTTCGGTCCCGACCCGCCAGGTGGCTCCCGCGCCTTCGCTCCCGGTTCCTTTCCGGGGTTATCCTGATCGGAAAGGAGCACAGCACGAAGACTGCCATCCGCCAACCAGCCAACCAGCCAGCCAGCCAGTCTGCCTTCCTTCCGTGCCCGCCCGCCTGCTCGTCCGTCCGTCCGATCGACCGACCGACCGACCGACGAACCGACCAACCGCCCGCCCGCCCGCGTTTGGCTGCTATCCTCGCTGCCAGCCATCTTCTGTGACCAGCTTGAAGGGAGGAAGGAGAGTGGAGGCGCAAAGTGCGGAGGCCAGAGGCTCCGGCTCAGGACAAGCTCCAGGTCAACCAGCGAGGCGCTGCCGCGTCAGGACACGATCACACCGACCGAACGTCGCGGTGGTTTCAAACCGAGTAGCGTCCTGAACAATCCGGGCGAACGGGTGAGCCAGTCAGTGAGTGAGTGAGTGAGCGAGCGAGCGGACGAGCGACCGACGGAAACTCTCCCAGGAGGAGCTCAGGGTGGCAGCAGCAGCAGCACGCAGGCCCAGACGACACTAGAGCCAACAACGAGTCAGGAGTCACGAGTGAGCGCCAACTCCTGACTGAGCGATCGTCAAACCCGACGACGACAGCAACAACGACAACAACAACAACGACGACGGCAACAACCGCACCAAGAACGTCGACGACACGAGACAGCAGGACATCGTCGAGCTCGACGACAGCCAACGGCGATCATCCCAGAGAGAAGTGTCACAAATTAGAAAATGGCGACTTGGACGAGCACGGCTGTGGCCCCAGAAACGGCAGACAGTCCGAACATCACCTCCAGCTGAGCCTCGGAGACGGAGAATTGATCCAGTGATTCGTTGACCGCATGAGTGAACCTCCAGTGAGCAATCGGGGAGAGGAGCTCTCTCGGTGAAACAACCTCAGGAGCCCCTTCAGGATCCATCCCCTGAACCTACGAGGATTCTGTGCTCTCCTCGCCGTAGATGTGTCCACTCACCAGATCCTAGGGATACTCGCTCGATCCGTTGAAGCCCGAGCAAGAATCAGCAGGTCCCGAACCCTATCAGCCACGAACGAAACGTGGGTTCAGATCAAGGTTGCGAACGAAGCGAATGGTCGATAACGGCATAGGGGAGCGCTAGTTGCGCGGCCTCTGACCTAGGATATCCGAATATCCTTCCCCATTCGTATATTGTTCCCCTGAGCGAGATTCGCTCTGTTCCTCGACGAGTGAGTGATCGTTGTGGTCGTCGTTGTTGTCGTCGTTGTCGTCAATAAGTCCTTCACCGCTACGACCGTCACCACCGACACCGATTTTCGCTCAGCGTGGGGGTCGTTTACCTGGTTCGGAGCGTCCTGGAGTCCTCCGACGTCGCCGTCGTCGCTCTGTAATTTTTGGGGTCCTCGAACACGGGGAGGAAAATAAGGTGTTGGTCCCGGTGGTCAATGCGCTGCTGGGATCAGGTGGTCATCTGAAAGCGTCGTCGGCAATAGTTTTCCAAGTCGTCGTTGCTGATTCAATCAGGATCATTTGTTCGTCGCCGTGCCGTCGACGCAGCGTTGTGAATCCTCATGAAGAAGGTTCGTATCCAGGAGCAGGGCGCAGCCATGAATGCCCCAGCGTCCGGTGACTATCCGAATGTCCTCGACGACATCACCTTCGCTGAAAATAGGTGAGTTCGTAAATCTGCTGTGCCAGCTCGATATTCGAAATCTGACGCTAGTGGGATATGAGTACGCTTGTGAGAGTGTGAGTGCCCCGATGATAATAATGATGATTATCTGCGTAAAGGAGCGAGGACATGTGAAGGAACACCTTCCCCCTATCGATTCAGTATTTTCCACTGTGAACAAATACTGATTAATTCTGTCTCCTACCCATTGCGATTTTATTGTCTGTGTTTCTATCCGAGTAGATAGGCTTGAATGGATGGTGATGGCCGCGGTGGCGGCTCCAGCCGCCTAGAAGCCATGTGTCTTCGATGGCCGCCATTGCAACCCTGCGTGGAAGCTCGAGGGTGAATCGCTGTCGGAGGCTGGCCGTGCTTCGATTTACACCGAGCTGTTGCCCGTTGCCTCGTACCGTTTTTCCTCTCCTATACCCGTTAAGATCAGTCATTAACCCCTCAAACTGGTGATGAGTAAAATTGACGCTAAAAAAATATCCCAAACTTCTCAACAAGCCCCAACCTTTTGACAGAAGCAAATCGACCGTGCGCAAAACTCACACAGTCGTCGGAATGATTATATTCGCCAGGAGACTCGCGCTTCATTCTTTCCTCCTTTCTAACGTGTCTTGGACAGATCAAGATTTGCGAGTAAAGAGATCGCTACCGCACCTGAATGTTTCGATGTGTTTCTATTCATAATCTGATCGCTGGAAAATTTGCATATACGTACTGTCAAGACCGGGATCTCCGCGCAAGCTTCATTCGGACTTGTAAGGCCAGGAATCGAATTTTCGAACGGTCCCCGATGGAAGATGATTCATCTGAGAAGCGAAATTTCAGCATTCTTATATCCCTACCGGATTGCGATCACGCAGACTTCTCGTAACTCGATGCGGAACTCACGAGGAATAACTTTGGAAAATGGACCAAGGAAAGGATTTGGGGAACTATTCCGTGATGTGTACATTGATGGATTCGCGAGCCGACTCACGATAGGTCGGAGAATTTCGTTTCGATCAGTAATTCGGTAGCTCGCCCGCTCCATTGATTTCCGGCTTTTCAGAAGTCTCCTCTCGCCTCGGTGATTATTTCTTTCATCTCGGAGCTATTCTTTCCTCCTTTCCGCAGAAAATAACCCGGCAATACCTCCGGCTCGAGCCGGAGTTCCATTGAATTCGACTCGCGAATTGCTTCTCGGGCGGACCTCTTTCCGCGGAATCGACTCTTTGAGCTTGTATCTCTCGAAAATATGGTGACGAGAATACGAGTCTTCAGGGGGAAAGCCTTGCGGAAAAATCGGAACGCTCGCTGAATCGGGAGCAAATCGCGGTTACGGACGTGGGTTGCCGCGGTAACGGCGAGTGCAGAGAATCATCGGGAGATCCTCGAGCAGAGCAGCACCGCAGGGAGAACGCGAGTCGACGACATTTCGATTCCAAATGACGCCGACGACGCCTCGCTTCTCTCTTCCCCTCATTCCTCCCGGCATCCTTCTCTATTCGTCCTGCTCGCTGTCTCAGTCAGTTCCCTACCGCGCCGAGGCCGCTTTTGCCGCGTGTGTGGAGGCGCGGACGCTAGGTCTGTCGGTCGAAGCCTCTGCTCTTTTTGCTGAGGAGGAAAAGATAATGCTGGGTGCGGAGAGTGTCGGAAAAAGCGGAAAAGTCGTTGTCGTCCTCGCCTGGGCGGCTGCTCTGGTACTGTAGGTTGGTGATGCGAGCGAGCAGCAGACGCACAGAGGAGAGGTGGCGGGGCCCGACCCTGAGCAGCAATAAGCGTAAGGACGAAACTTTCTCTTGTTGTCTCTTCTGCTGCGGTTGCCACTCTTTTTTCCTCTATTTCGTTCTTTGCGGTCCTCCATTGCTCCTTCCCGCGAGCGGGCGAGATCGCAACCTCTTACCTCCCTGCCTCTCCACGTCTTGCCTTCTCGGCATCTCCCGCGAGGAGGAGCGGTCGGCGGACGAGGAAAGTTCCGTGGAGAAAGTTCCCCCTCCAACACACGGCAAGCAGCTCTGGGCTCTCGTAGTCTACCGCGAATTCGCGCTTCCGTCCCCCGTTGTCGAAAAGGGTCCCCATCCGAGAGGCGAAGATCCGACGCGCGATGCCTAGTCCACGTGAGGGGCATCAGGAGACATTGGATCATCAAGTCCTTCAATGTGTCCGAATCCTCCCCGATTCAGTCGTGTCTCTGATGTGGGCGTGACTGGAGTACTTCCACTCAATTCGTCCTGTTTTCCCCACCGCTTGCAATAATCTATTTCCCGTATAAGGCGAGCGTATGAGGTCGATTCGCTGCTCAGTTTCCGCTAGATTTCATGCTTGCTTGGTTCTATATATCGAGGCTAAATCGAGTTTCCTGGTAAAGCCTTCATTTTTTCAATCATTGAAAACTAAACCTCATGGAAGCCAGTTGGGATAACCTCCCCGTCCCAAGAGAGGCTCCTATCGGGAATCCAATAATTGCAAGAGTTCCTCCTCCTCCAATCGAATGCTCAATCGATTGGATGGTTCCGATCTCGAGCTGTCGGTATCTCGCACTGTATCATTAGTGGCACTCACCTCACTCAAAGCTGCGGTAAATCGCCGTAGAGAGTTCAGTTTCTATCGACCCTCTCCGAAAGCCTACCTCACGGGGATATAATTCCCGCCGTTCCCCCCGGCCCGTAATATGAGAGTTGTGTATTCGCTGGTCGATCCCTCGCTCTATTGCTCAACTAAAGCCACCCCGAAATGGCACGTCGGCACAGCTTCCCGGCCGACCCAAAGAATCCTTGAAGTATCTAAATTCGAGTCGGAAGTGTCTGTAAATTTCTCGATCATGTCTTCCACGCTTTCCCTGTGACCGCTCCTTTTCCTCTATCGATTTCGATCGAACTGAACCTCGATGTGAAGCCTGCTCCCGAGATCCTGAGGTCACCGTGGGTTTTGAAGACCTCATCCCGAACGACCGCAACTGTGCGGTGTCGTTATACCTCTGTCCCGAACCGTGAAGATCCCCACCTCCCCGCGAAATACTTGATCACTGATGATGGTTTTTTCAATTTTTGTGTGCGGCGCGTTTTTCCGCCATCGATACCTAGGGCCCGGAGACCACGTCCGCGGCACAGCCAGTCCGAGGAGGGTCCGTTTCCCAGCACTGAGGAACGAAGGTACAGAAATATATTTTTGTTCATGGCATCAGTTGAATTTTTCCGCTCTCATTCTATGAGATGATAACATTTTCGATCAGTATGCCCGCCCGCCCGTCCACCGGCCGCCGTCGAGTATTCTTGGTCGGAGCTCACCACGTTTGGCAAGCTGTTTTCGTCAGCTGGCGCAATGCAAGACAGCCGTAGAGAGAAGAGGGTGGTCATCATAAGGAGAGCAGAGGGGCATCGAGCAGGCCCTGGAATCGGATTACGAAACACGCACACACATTTACGCCTCGCTCAGAGGTGGCCTGCTCGCCGATTGGCGTCGGGTCGCGGGCGTCGTACCAGTACCACAGAAACACAGGAGGGGAATATCCGACGCGCAACATAGAGCAGAGGTTCGTCGGTGGAGTCTCGGTGCGTGTCTCGGGAGGGGTCACTCGACCGGACCACCATGAATCCAGCATGGAACAAGTCGACACGCGACGGGAGTGATGCCGAGAATCGGCATTCGCACCAAGAGCACGCAAGCTCGTTGCTCACTTTGAAGCTGGGCCTGGCTCCTTCTTTAATGAGCAGTCTTATTAGGCTTTGATGCGTCTACGACGAAACTACGAGCCGACTCTGAATAATGAGATGAGAGGCATGACTACACTTTTTGCGCCTCGATTGCCACCGACTGCACCACCGTTTCCGCTGCAAGTCAACTGCCGGCCTGAGAGTGGTCTGGAGCGGGGCTGCGAGGGGGTCGCGGGATTTCATCGGGATTCGCGTCGTGGACGTAGATCCCGTCGAATTCCCCCGTGACTCCATCCGCAGACACGCTCCGGATGGTCCATGGCCTGAGTTTCCCGCCGATTCTCGATTTTCTGCGGGGAGCAGACAGGGGCGACGAAACACGCCAGTGGGAGTCCTCCGTGAAGTTCATCAAAGTCTCCAGTTGGAGGAAAGCACCGACCTTGCTCGTTGTGATCTCGAGCGAAAATTCATCAGGCACGCCTGGTCGGGGATTCCGGCGAATTCCTCCTGGCAGGCGGAAATGAACTCATAATACTCCGGTTCTCGGACATCGCTCGTTACCTTCCCCGCTCCACGCGTGAAGACAGATCCCCAGGACCGATAATCGAGTAGACCGATCATAGGAGAACACTCTCACCAGGGGGAGAGGCCAGGCACTCCTCGCACAGACAGCCCCTGGACACTCGTGATGATGATGGCGGCGACGGCGGCGGCGGTAGTTGTAGTCAATGGCTGTACGAAGCAGACGGAGGTTTCTGCTGGAAATCTGCTTCTGTTTGCTCCACTGGCCGCGAAGAATCTCGCTGACGGAACAGCTGTTGATTTGACATGTCTGCTGATAAGCTACGGCTGAGATGAGGGGTAGAAGAAACGAGTAGAGCAGAAAATAAACCCTAAGCGAGGGTTGGTCGCTCTGACTGACAGTATAATTGCAGGGACACTGCAAACCTCCGCTATCGACAAATGGGTTTCAGTCGAGGATTCGGACTCGGCGAACAAGTTGGCTGGAAAGAAGGGTATCAGTTAGGCCTACAAAGAGGAGCTCAGCTCGCGACGGAGTTAGGCTTCTATCAAGGCTTCGTTCATGCGTGGATTACAATTCTAGAGCACGAGGACCCCTCGAAACCAAGGTGAGCATCCATTCAGAGAGTTCTGTACTACCGTGAGCGACGCAAGCTCCTCCAGGCCTACGCCAGGATCCACCGACGGACGGAACACGAAGTCGGATGCTTTCATTTCGTGGCTTGATGTTGGGAAGTTCGCAATTTTGTCCATGAGCCGGACAGCGCTAGAGGAAGCGGGGGCCAGCGGTATTCTCCTAGAGAGCTCGATAGTCAGAGGGATACTCTCTTTTACAGGAAACTCGCGGCATTGCGCGGCCTCCTAGAAATGACCAAAAACTTTCCGAAGCAAACGGTCGCCGACGATGACATGTTTGAAAAGCTTCACAAAATTCGCGCCAAATTCAAGCAGGTGAGTTGTCGGGGAAATAATCAATCTAGCGTCTCAGTTGCGGATGATTGGCTTCAAAGTGAGGATTCAGATGATGCGTAGAACGCCTCCGGAGAATACAATCAAATCAGCAGCCAGAAGCAAACGCTAATCGAGTTTCTCCGATTTCTCTCCTAGGTGGTGGCTCTACTGGAACTGGGCGCTGATCAAGTCGTGGGACAGCAGGGCGGTCGCGATGGGGGCTCTACAACACCGGGCCGTTCCCATCCGCCGTCTGGATTTCACCAGACGGAGCCAATTTACAGCACCTCGACGAAGCACCACCAACAACCGCAACCCCAACAGCAGCACATTCACCACGCGTCGCAGAGCTCACAACAACCGACACACGGGGTGTATCCTCAGGGTGAGCAGTCAGAATTCGCGGGAAATCTCTCCGATGTGTAACATCGATAGCGATACTGAGTTCCATTTTATCTGCTGTCTCGACGTCCCTGGATCCACTGATAGAGGGAAACTATTGTTTAGAAACACGTGTCTCGAATTATTGAGTGATCTTCCCTGGGCAGTCATCGACACATTGGTGACGAAAATCTGTCCCTCGTGATGCTTGACCTCGATGATAGAGTCATTAGATGGAGTTCTTCAGCGACCTGAGGAAATTCCGACATTCATGGTACGTCTGATTTCAGGGTCGTACCGGTCTTCGCACACACATCCACCCCCGGGGCAAGGCATGGCAGCTTCAGGAGCTCGGGGGTCAACGGTAATGATGAGCGATCCGACACGACCCTCCTCGAAGCACTCCGAGATGTCGTTCTAGTCCCTGCCTAAGAACACCTTGCATTCTGCTCTTCCACCCACTTTGTCTTCCGACGATGCAAACAACAAACGAAACATCAATAAGAAACTCAGTCTCAGCACACCCGAAGGTAATTGGAACGAGCGACATATACATCATCTCGACGGCGCGTACTATAATATTCATTGAGGTCCAACATCTATCCCATCAGTTTACGGTCCATCTCAATCGCAGAGTCAGTCAGTCCGGAGCGGTCTTCGTTGCAGATCTCTGTCGCCAAGGGATGTCACCGACCGCAACGATGCCAACAGGCGAGGTGGCCGCTCCCTTGTCCGCGCATCCGACTCCACATCGTCGTCACAAGCGACATCGTTCTCAAAGCCACATTGCGCCCACAGATCCGTTGCCACCCCTCCCTCAATCGGACGCCATATATCAGACTATCCAGACGCCCCAGACACTTCAAATGCCGTCTCATCACAATCTCCTTCAGCAGCAGCAACAATCGCTGCCACATCATTTCCCGCAACAGCAGATTCGAACGAAAAGTAAAGAGACGCTCATCGATGGAGTTGGAGATTACCAAGGGAAAGTCAAACTCTCTGCGAGTCAGCTGCAGCCTCCTCCGCGAAGACACGCTCGGAGTCAAAGTCCTCGAGAGCCTCGTAGTTATCCTCGGCACCATACGTCACAGGATCCCTCTGCTGCCGTCGCTATGTCGACGACGCAGAACTATAGAACGGCCCAGGCACAGTCGGCGTCGCTGGGAGGAGGGGTTGACCACCGAGCGGCAGCCGCAGGGGCGACGACGCGGGCCGCCGCAGCGGCTCCGCTCCCGGCGGCAACTTCTCATCTCGAATCAGCAGCAGCCGGTCACAGGTCTGGAAGTCACCATCACCATCACTACGACGGACGCTTCCATCATCCCTATCCGAGCACGATTATCACCTATGACGAACTTTGTGAGAGCGTAGAGAACGAACGCCAACGCCGGCGACAACGCGAAAAGTCCAACTGTCAATGCTGCGTATGTTGTCGGCATCTGTTCAAGCTGTTGTTCGTACTGGCCGTGCTCTTGACAATTCTGCTCGTTGCGTGCAAATTTTGGTGTCCTGACACGTGCAAAACGTACCTTGGCTTTGGGAGGAGCGATTCATCGCAAACGTGATCGTACGAATAATGCCAAGTCGCAGCGAATTCAAGCACCAGCAGCAGCAGCAGCGAATATGAAGGCTATGCATTTCCTTCGGGTGGTTTGACAGAGTCCTTGACATCTGAGGAGCTCCGCCGAGACTGGCTCGTTCACCTTTCAGCGCAGAGCGGATGGACAAAGAGAGAAAAGAGAGAGAGAGAGAGAGAGTAGTTACTCGATTTTACAAACAGAGTACCGCGGACGCAAATGAAAGTTCAATGGTACCGACTCGTATAAATGGAAGCTAGATCTATGCTGACAAAGTAACCCAATTGCTCACAGTATGATAAACTCGTCATATTCAAACAGAGGGGAGAGAGAGGATAAACAAAACAAACAAGGAACAAACTAATTATACAATTGATGGCGATACGGTTGGCGACGGCGATGATTATGGTGATAATGATTGATTGCCTGCCTGATTGATTGGAATTATCTGAAAGAGGGAGGAAAACAAAGACTCTACCCACAATAAGCAAACAATTACCTTCTAATCAATGGTCTTGACACAACCACTCAATTTATAAACTCTCGATTTATTCGAGAGACTGAGAGATGACAGCTCTGGAAAAGCAGACCCAGATCGATCGAGTTCTCCACACCTACAACTACTTCTACAAATCTCGCTCTGATGAAGAAGAAAAGCAAAAGAAAACCCCTGAACACTGTGATGAAGTACCGAAAACGGTGAAGCTGATTATTTAAATACGGAAGCAGAAAATGTTCGACACGAAGGATCAACAACTCGAAGCGGACGTCTGATTCGATTAAATAACACCGGCTTACGTTGAGTACCCGTTCGGTAGGAGTGACCGATTTGTCTAGAGGTTTGAGTCTTGTTCGAGTGACCGTTATGTCTTGGAGAAAAATCCCGAAAACGATCCCTCGGATCTTCTCGGTCAGATCTCGCCGGACAACTACTCATACAACTACCTGACAAAGCAAAGATCGTCGCCAATATCTCAGGGAGACGAGTTCAGAATGCATTGTGATTCAGACCCTCAGGGGGACTTCCAATTAGTACAGATATGACTGCCCGTCTGACTGATTGAATAGTTAATCGATAAATCGATCGATCGATTGATTGATGGTTGGACAGCTGTGACGGTCGGTCGGTCGATGGATGAATCGATTAACTTCGTATATGACCGTTCCGCCGACTGAATGATTGACTGGTTGATTAGTTGAATATCTCGCTTTATCTCACACAAGAGATTAGCATCAATCCCCAAGCGGCAGAACGACAGTGCCACCATCGGATTCCGCGTGCGGATTTTCTCGAAGCCCAAACAAGTCGAAGTTGTAAATCGATGATGGAAATGACGTATGACCGTGATGAAGATGATAATGATCATGATTCACATGTTGTACACATCATCGACAGGAAGAGGTTGCAGACTTCAAGTTTGCGGAAACACAACAAATGCGCATTAGAAAGAGAAGAACGTCTTATGGAAAGCGTTGGAGTATACCGAATTAAAGGTGCATGGTGCAACACTGCCCTAGGCAAAAGCTAACCAAACTTGAACCTGAAGCGTGAAGCAGAGAAGCAAACATCTTTTGAGTCTTACTAACTATTATCTATTTACGAATTGATTGCGGGAGATAGAAAAGTTGATGATGATCAATCAGCATTATCACATGGCAACAATAATGACACCTATTACGAAGACGAGGGATTTTTTGGAAATTATCGCCACAGCTGGTTCTCGGTAATTCGAAAAACGAAGGAGACCTCGCGGCAAATGTTCATGCAACGGTGACGATGAGCCACAAACATTTTCCTCATTCGGAGTTGAGAGTTTTTGTGTAGAACGAAGCTCAGATATATGTATGTGAACGACTCTTTCGACTCACAAAGAAGACAGAAAGAAGCAAATATGATCAATACTATGGATATATAGATTATAATTATTATCCTGAACCGATGTTGAACCATTGCGGTATTGGTTACACTGTTACAAACAAGCTTCAAGCTAACACAAGTCGTCGTGAGAAGAGCCCTTCGAGGAGAGCCCACGATTCCCTCCGAGAAGAGGACATTAGTATCTGGATCTCGAATAGCCCGAAGAGGAAGCCGCCGTATTAGCACAGTCATTTCGAGCTCATCTGGCATTCCTCGAGGCTTTCTCTCCTCAAAAACGCTCGATATACATAGTAACGAAATCTATTCATCGTTGATCGAAGACTATGCGTTGATGTTCGGGAGGGGGTCGTGGTGAATTCGCGTTGATTTGTTCCGGAAGCGAGAACCTTCTCACGGAGGAGGTTGATGATGTAATTGAGATAAGATAATACTTCGGATCGGATCCTTCCACTGATGCGAGGAGCTTCGTAGGGTGGAGCGTTGGCCTGGAGAAGTTTCTGACCTGATAATTAGATATTGTATTATCTTGTAATCACTAAGATCAGCTCTCTAGTGTTGGTTGAAGTGTAGAGAAATCTGTTCGTTGACTTTGATAATGATTGTAGTAGCGACTGTTCCGCTATTTCACTGTTCTGCCTCTATCAATCGGCTTGAGTGATTAATGATTGATCGTTCACTGATCGACGCCCGCTCCGTCGGTCTGCATATTCCCGCAATATACTCGGACAAACCGCTTCTGAGCCCTCTGTTGACCAGGCTTTCGATTCGATTGGCTTGCTACATTTTATTGTTCTAGCTCGTACATTCTTGATTCCTGGTAAGGCTCCTTGTCGTTACAGTCCTCACCCGGGCGGTTTTGACTTTGGTATCTATTTAAGCTTCGCCAGGGATCGTCAAGCTGGAGATGTTAATTACCAGCGACTTGATCAGTGGACAGATCAGTCGATTGATTGATCGATCAGTATCCCGATTGTTCACATGTTCGAATGTCTCACCATTTGATTGATCAACTCACTAAACTTTTCCTGTACTGAATGACTTGCTATTAATTCGACCAATGCATCATTGACTGATTGCCTTATTCTCTGTAGAGCACTACATCCTGATTCGACTCCGGAACACCCGCGCGCGATATCCCTTATTCTACTCAGATGTAGAGCTCCGATCCCAAACTCCTGATACCTCGGGGGTTTCCATGCGAGACACACGCGCAGCAGCACAGAACAAGAAGTCTATGAATAGCGAGATTATGCCACCGGATATCACGAATTTCTCAGGGCTGTATCTTGTCTGTTTCCTCAAACTAGCAGAAGGAGGACCTCGATTCAGGAGTCTGCCCTCCGGTGGTCCCCGTCGGGGAATCATTTGAAACACTGCCCCGAAGACTCTCTCGTGACCGAATGTGTTCACGTGAGCATTCTGACATCCTGTTTGCCGATCCGGCTCGCAGATGTCGCTACACTGACCATCCTAAATGGAGTACGCGATAGATTTCCTGATTCATTTCCAATCGGTGTTCGAATCCCAAGCTTCGTCCGATAACGCGGATCCTCCCTGGAACCGGTTCCCTGAAGATTCGGTGCTGATAACGAGTGTTTGAGCTTCGTGGAGTAAGAGGATATACGATTCCGTATCGATCGCGGCTGATCATTTAGTCACGTTCGATTCGATTTTGTGAACACTGGTCGGCCTCTGCGTCTCGGTATTTGGGATTGGTCGGGAAATTCCATGGCTTCCAGACGCATACTCTGATGATGATACCGTCTATGTATACCTACCTCTCTCTGGCAGCGGGGTGAATATCGGACAGAAGTCTCCGATCTCTGATGAGAGCGATTTGGTTACCAACCTATAATATGACCTATCGACCCGAGGAAGCCGCTCATTGAAGAGAATTATCGCATGCCAGGAGCTCGAGTCGTCAAGGGGAATGTGCTCTCCGCGGAGAATCCCATCCGACAAGTAATAATAATTCACTGCCTGAAGAACTTTTTAGGATTCGCGAACCAGCTCTCTGTTGCTCCTTCCAATCAGAATTCCGGGGAATTTGAAGTCCCTCCTCCGTCGTCCTCGAATAGCTTAGAAGTCGATCCCCACGAGGTGGTGTTATATTCATTCCATTTTCACGGTGGAGTCACTCGTTGGGAGAAGCGGACCTTAAGATTAGGCGCAACTCCATATCCACTCGGAGCTTGGCTGAGAATCAAGAGGGCTCCCAACTTTTGATGTTGATTCACATCAGGACAAGACACTGTTTTCATGGGTCTGCGATATCGAGGTTTGTTCACGCAGCATTCATCTGATGAACACTAATCGCCCTCGCGTCTCATACTCCGATGTAGAAGGGGGGCGTCTGTTTTCACACGTGATCAAGGGAGAAACTCAAGGATGGGGCGGGCCCTGGGGCGAAGGAATTGCGAGAGAGATCGATGGAATGTGCCCCGATGCACATAGCCTGGCTTGAGCATTCGTGACAGAAATGTCCTTCCCCAAGCGACAGTCATCGTGTATGCCGTCGATAAAGAGACAGCACCCTGAGGTCTCGCCACCGACGTATCGCGTATATTGAGATTGCTGTGGAATCGAGAGAAGCGGAAGAGCTGCTGAAGATATGGAACACAGGACACATTGAGGGCAAACAGCGGATTATTCTGACTGCGCTGGGCTAGGGATACTCCGGCGTGAGCAATGAAGGTCCGACGGAAGAAGTTCCCAGAAGTCTCCTGAAAGCCCCACGCGATGACGAAATATAAGATCGTCGCCCTTCGAGGGGCTGACGGTATTGATCCAAAGAACGGCGATGGAAGTTGATTCATGAGCCTATGCCGATGGAGAATGAAAGAGGAGTCAATCGATGAATAACTCAGAAAGTTGTTTGTCATTCAGTCAAGATCACTATCATCTCATGAAACAATGATGGAGGAAATAAAATGGCTTGAAGACCTTAAGATATTTGGATGGATGCTCGCGGTTCTCATTCGCAGAAATGTTCCCCGAATCGAGGTACTCCGACGAGCTCGATGAGAACACTCGGGATTGTTTCCAGCACAAACCAAGGTCGGTTCTGAAGGATTTTGGGGGGCTCCGAGAAATATGTAGGTGCGGTCACCTGTTCACTCCACGAAATGCCTCCTTCGTGCATGCAATCCGCTCTCTCGTCACCCGAAGGCTCATTGTTTTTCGAGGTGCCGGACCGTCAGGTGCTCCGTGTGACCAACGTCGGCGCGGAGAGGTCCTTCAGCAGGGATCGAGGAAGTTCTAAACGGGATTCCTTCCGGTACCTCGAACGAGCTAGCAGCGAGGACACAATATGGAGGCTTCTAAGGGAGTACTTCGAAAGCGTTATCGTGATATTCTTCCGGGGTACTACTGATAGTCGCCGGAATTCTTAAGATATAATGAGCGTGTAGATCCCGGGGCTTCCCACGAATGCATTGGAGCGGACGCTTGCGGAATCGAGCGAGAATCCCGGTCCCAAGTTGCGGCGTGCCGTCCATGAATGTCACTTACGGAATGTTCCTGTCTCTCGGATATAGGTTGATTCTCCCCGGGAAATCATAGGCGAGTGACGAAGGAAAGGGATATACCCAGTCAGCTCGTCCCGATTTCCCGAACACGCATACACATCCTCGTGGATGAAGCGATTCTCTATTCGATAAACAAGGTTCACGATGGATAATTCATTTATGTCTTGCTGAGGATATGGGTCGATTTTGACTTTTGACCCGGAGAGCGCTCTGAGAAAGTCAATAGGCTTCCTTGCGACAGTTCGATGGCAATGACGAGATTTTATTGACGATTCGCCGCTCCGAGTTCAGGTCAGACCCTTGAAGCTCGCGTCGGTCCTTTCCGTATCAAACTTATGAAATGCAGATGCAGATGTAAACCTCGCTCTGACAGACCTAGACACTGTGGATGGCGTCGACAAAGACTTGAACTTTTGCGGGATCCATGTCAGGATACATTCCATGACCTAGGTTCGCTATATATCTTTCTTTTCCGAAGCGACGCACCATCTCGACTGTCAGTCTCCTAAGAGTGTCATCGTCAGCATAAAGAGCACAAGGATCCAAGTTACCTTGAATTGTAACGTTTGGTCCGAGAAGCCGTCTTGCCTCTTCCGGCGTTACGCACCAATCGACACTGATCACATCATACCCGCAATCGCGGACGTGAGCGAGATTAGAGTGCGCGTCTTTTGGGAACAAGAACAGCGGAGGGCACCGTTCACCGAGTTTTCCACGTACCGCCTTGGCGATCCGGATATAACCGGGCTTCACATGCTCCAAGAATGTCCTTTCGTCGAGATAACCAACATTGGTATCGAATAGCTGAAGCATCTGAGCCCCTGCTTTCGCTTGCTCGATCAAGTACTCGATGATGGTCAGCTCGAGTTTGCTCAGAAGTTCCTGAGAAGCTGATCGCTCGGAGTAAAGCCATTTTTTAGCGTTCGACTGAGTCTTGGAACCCTTTCCCTCGATCATGTAGCACATTAATGTCCACGGTGCTCCTGAGAAACCGAAGAGAGGAACTTTGCCCTCTAGTGCGAGACGAGTCGTTCGCAGGGCGTCCATGACGTATTTGAGGTCAGATGGAACATCGACGTCCTTCAATCGATTCAAATCCGCGGTGCTCCGGATCGGTTCGGTGAAAACGGGGCCTTCTCCTGGTCTCATTTCGAGGTGCATTCCTGGGGGCAGATACTCGGTGAGTGGACTTGAGCGAGTTGCGGAATTTAAGTTCAGAATCGCAGCCGTGCGATGACCCGGACGTTGGGACATCTTGCTCTTATAGTGAGAAGGGGGGGACTGGGGCATGGGGAAGAAGCTGACCCATAGCTTGAGGAATCACCAGGATATCTGAGAAGATGATTGCAGCGTCCAAGGGGAACCTCCGTATCGGCTGTAACGTGATCTCACAGGCGACTTCGGGTTTCTGGCACATATCGAAGAAAGTGTGCGACTTGCGTGCCTCCATGAACTCTGGAAGGTATCTGCCGGCCTGGCGCATAATCCACACCGGGACCTGGGATGTTTCGAAGGTGTCAGTCAACGCCGGCTCACTGTCGATCCGCTCGGAGCGAGTTCGACCGCATCTGCCATCTTCCTCGGAAGCCCTTAGTGGGGGAAGCCCAGGACAAATATTGACGGTCAATGCTTACCTTCTCTACGGGCTCGCCCCTGGCAGCTCGCAGAATGCTGTCGTTTTTCAGTTCTTGGAATCCGCTCATTCTCACCGAGCGGCTCTATCGGAATCACTCGAGAAAGTTGTGCGAGCAAGCTCGATCTTCGTGATCTTGATTATAAGAGCGTGACCGGAAGTGGACCGGAGTCACTTCACTGGAATCTCGCGAAATCGGGGAAGTTCTCCCGCGAATGTTATTCCATGGAATCGTCTATCCTCGGGAACACAGCTGAAGATTTCGCCGATCTGCGTACCTGTGTCAGACGATGAAACAGCTGCGGGACACACGCGCCACAGACACGTGTCTAGAGGCCCCGCAGTGAGACAATCACGACCTGGTGACATGTCTCGGGACGCTTCTCCAACCCAGGGACGTACCCGCAAGAATCACGTTGGGTGCTGCACGTCGCGGTCGCGAAACTCGAGCCTCAATCCCAGCCGCAGACTAAGAGCTCACTCCGATGAGCTTCGAGGCGGACAAGAATACGGATTCGAATTTCCGCGCCATCGAGGTTCGCACTCGATGCAGAATACTCTAGCAGACTGCGGCGCTTCTCCTCCGCTCGTGCGTCCGAGAGCCTTTTTGTGTTTGGTGTTGCGCTGCATCTAACCTGTGTTAAGGGGCACATTGGCGATGGCGAGTCGCGCTGTTGGAGTTTTCGTTCGTAATTGTGCCATTTTAGGGGGGCTCCATGCTCCCCGGATGGCGGTACGGCACCTCTCAGTGTCGACGATTGCGTGCCAACGGGCGACCGGTCTCATGAAGTCGTCACAAATCTTCAAACCAAAGGTCAGCACTTGTAAGCCTAAGGACAACACCGATCATTGTGTCTCTGGACTCGTTATCCTGCGTCGTTCCAAACGTAGCGAGCACATCGATTCCTCATCTCGAAAACCCCGGGGAGGTTGACGCACCGAACGCACGGAGTGTATCGAGCTCGATCTTTTCCGCACCGGGTGCGCGAGTCGGGCTTCCCTTCCACCCGGCTGATAAGGAGAACGACCGATGCGACTTGTGGGGGGAAATTGAAAACGTTCCAGAGTCGATTCGCCTCGAACTCGTCCTCGTGATTGGGAGAAATCGCTGCGAATCTGGACGCGATGTTCGCTATCTCTTGGGTCCTCTACCGTTCCCTCTAACTATGTCTGCTCAAGCGTCTCGTTCTAATCAGCGATGAACTCGCTCGTTGCCAGGTCACATCGAGAAGTTACTCCGAAACACCTCCCATGAGTCTACAGCTCATCCAGGACCGTGTCATGCTCGTTCTGAAACTGTACGACAAGATTGACGCCGAGAAACTGAAATTAGACTCCCATCTCTTGAACGACATGGGTTTGGACTCTTTGGATTGCGTCGAGGTGAGTTCCATGAAAATTGGAGGATATTTGACTCGTTTCCGTGGTTCTTGTGTCCCCTCGAACCCCGGAGCACCGATTAGATCCGTTCTTCCTGAACCCAGGAGAGGCATCGACCATATTTCTCGTCTATATTTGAATCGAGTAAACCCGATCCGTGGAATAAGGAACTCTCTCAATCCGCAGGTTATCATGGCTATTGAAGACGAGTTTGGATTCGAGATTCCCGACCAGGACGCTGAGAGGCTCCTCCGACCAGCAGACATCGTGCGATATGTTGCGGACAGAGAAGATATCTATGAGTAGATGGAGCGCTTCTAGACGAAAATGAATTTGTATATGTTGCTGCTGCTGAAAAAGAGGTGAAGATGTCGAGTGTATGTGGTTTGCAAAATAAAACACTTCCGATAGATTTTACTCTACGTGAAGCTGTCATCCATGCATCCATCGTGCTCTTAGGCAGGGTTTCCGGAGAGGGGACACGAGTGTCGAGATCGAATCGGTCAGATGCTGGAAACGTACAGAGTGCCTTTGCGGTCAAGTGACACCCGTCACCCCTCGCGATTAGGGGCTCGGGGACGGGGAGAGCCGATAAACGAATCCGAGAATCCAGTGAGGTGAAGTTCCCTTGTTGAGACAGTACATTGAATAATCGTCTTTATTCGCTCCGAGGAGCTCAGCTTCCTCCGGCTTCACAATTGAATATGATCACGGCTCGGGATCGGGAGTCAATTATGCAGGAGACGTCCAAGTGAGAGGAGCCGATTAACATTTTGCAGCAGGAAATCGTTGAACTGTTCCGGCAGGAAGAGGACGATTTTTGACAAAATCAACATCGAGAGTCTATCACTCTGATAGCTCGGCTTCGGGAATCTAGAGACGATCGCGTGCTCGAACGTATTGATTGGGAAAGTTAGGTCGGATTCACAGAGATGAGCAAAGTCTTTGAGCATCTGATGGCTTTTTTTCAGCAGAGCGTCTCCGTACGCAGTTTGCTGCTCGTCAGTCAAGGAAGCCCACAGTTCGTCCAATTCGTCGGACGAGGGAGGAATGATCGATGTTCTGGAATTTGCAAGACATCATCTATTAGCCACCCTCCCAGACTCGAGACTAGAATACGCAAAATCTCATTAAATCGTGTTCCCGAGCTGAAGGCTCTAGTCCCATTGTCTTTTTGGAGATCACTCGAGACTGGCAAGCGATCCATATTAACGGATCGTTTCTCATTAATGCGGGCCGATTCTTACTTGTACATGTTTGGCTCGATAGAGCTGACTTCGATCCCGAAGGGCAGGAGTTCTGCACGGAGACCGTTACAAAGAGCGAGAACAGCATGCTTCGTCATCGCGTATGATACCAAGTTCGGCGCAGCGAAGTGAGCCGCCCAGCTCGTTGTGACAACAACACGACCTTCAATGAATTCCGAGTTTGCGAATCTCTCATCATGGATTGTCCTCTTTAAACATCTCTAGGCAATACGTATCTTCTCTCATGAGCAGCTTCACGCCTAACTCCCCAATCCCGAGAAACCCAACCTTTTGATGTCCTCAGAAACGGGACGAAGGCCCGTATCGTTCTCATGACCCCGAAAACATTGACGTCGAACATCCTCTGCAGCTTCGACATCGAAGCCCATTCCACGTAGCCGGACGTCAGGATTCCGGCATTCGCGACGACTGCCCAGAGAGCTAGAAGACAAAGAGTTTGCGAACGGATTTCTGAATAATTTCCAGATACTCGAGAATTCCTCAATCGAGCTATCGGATGCCTTCGGAATACTTTGTTCGAGATATACACCTTTGCCCCTGAGGTTGGTTGACACAAAGTTGACGGCTTCTTTCAAGCTGTCCTCACTTGTGACGTCGCACGGTACAACCAATATCGCACCGTCGCCGCGGGTTTTCTGGGAGCTCTTGATTAAACGGGATGCTCCTTCCCCCTGCGGGAACAGACAACCAGCGAAAACGAGAAAGCCTCTGTCGCGTAAACGAAGAGCCAAGTGGTGTCCAAACCCGCTATCGCAACCTGAAAATTAGACGTTGAAATTACACCTTGTTCTTAAAACCGACAATGGCCGAGCCGGGGACGGTCGCTGACCCACCTGTGATGAAAACCGCCTTGCCTCTGGATGGTATCTTCAGTGTGTTCAGCCAAATGAAACAGACTTGAGCAATGCCCCAAGCCAACGTCAGCGAGATGGGCAAGAGATAGATCCACTGAGGCACGGAAAGGAAGTCCAGAAGCTGGCTCAAGTGGAAAATGAGATGGGTCTGCTTCGATATAAGAATTGACACCAATGCGCTCAGCAGCCAAACCCACAGGCGCACAGACTGCATGGCTGAAAAAAGGGGTTCGAGGGTTAAGAGCTTGAAGAAGGTCAGGTCCAAGGACTGATGAATGATGAATCTATAAGGATAGGCAGTCTCATTGATTTCGGCGTCGATCGAATCATTGGAATTTCATGGTGGAGAATCGTTCCAACGTGAAGAATTCCTTATAGGAGGCGAGGATAATATTGACTCAGTCGGCGTCACGTTGGTGTTGTGCGGCAGGATTGGGTCACGGCTCGATGAGATGAACCAGGAAGCATTCCTTTCCAGCCGTTCGGACGACTTCCCTCGAGACCAACTCATGGGCTTGAGACCTACAATTGTTGCGCCCGCCTCCCCTTCCCACGCCCGGATTCTTGGATCCGTAAACGGTGGATCGAGTGTTCCCGACTTTCACAGGCTTGTCTCTTTGCCGAGCGCAGCAGATAATTGAGTGACAGCTTCCTTTGAGACTCGGCCTAATCTCGAGATTATTCGGTCGACCATCGATACATCTCGAGCATGGTCTCGAGATATGGACACAGATTCGCCGTAGATGCAGTTCACGAATTGAAACCCAGAATCATCGAGAGCCTCCTCCTGTCTGCCCCTAAGCGGGATTGGACACCGTTCCCGTGGAAACTACATCGGTCGATCTATGTAGCGCTCAGACGTCTCGACTCCTCGGTCGAAATGCAAGAAAATTCGGGACCGGCGGTCAGGACGTCCACTCTACAGCGGCTAATCAACCGGCCACCGTTCCGCTTACACAGAAGCCCGGATCACCGCGCCGGTACCACCGAACGAAGACTTCAAAATACCGCCGGGATCTATCAATTATCCCAGAACTTCAGCGAGACGGCTTGTTTATTCGTTCGGCGTAAAGAACTTCTCATGAAGGTTGCTGTCTCCCGACACTTCCCTCACACCAGAGGACGGATCGGGTCTCGGACGCGCGTAGTTTCAGTCTAGTGAGCAGACCCCGGGGAAGCGATCGGGTTTTTACATGACGATCGGTAAGTCTCATCAAGGTCGTCACGAAGCAAGTTCTTCAGATGTCACATGACGTGGGGCGGAAAGAACCGCACGCGCGATCCAGAAAACATCGGAAGTGTCGACACCCGGTGGATACTGTCAACAGACGGAGCATACGGGTCGAGCCACAGAGGAATGAATTTTTTAATTCACTCTCCTAATCGCGTGGGCGTTTTCGGCCTCATGACCTAAACGAGAAGGTCCATGGATCCGAGCTCTGAGCTCGAACTACTCCCTAGCTTGGACTGTCTCTCCGATTTATCGAATCACAGAAAAGCGGGATCTAAAGCACGTACAATATATAGTCGGCATTATCCGTCAAAGGGGCGACTCGGCATGCTTAGCTCACCTGCGGGTCGCCGCCTTCCTCGCAGCGTTCAAAAACACGATGCGTTGATTATGCAGCGCGACTTGCTTTGTCCATCTGTCCCAGAGCGTCTGATGTTGATGCGCGCACTGGCCCAATCTAAAGCACCTTCCACGATAGACCGATCCCTCCACGATATCTCTCTGGCGCATGCGCTGTTCGCCGCGATGGAAGATCAGACCTCAATTCGCTCTACTTCGTGTCTCGCGCGGATTCAACCGCGGTTATTCAGCTCTGAAATGATCTCCGAACACTAGGATTCCGCATATCTTGTAAATAAAAATCTTCAATCAGAAATAATTCAGGAGAATTGGTCTGCATGTCAGTGAAGATGACATGCGGAGAGACCGGGGTGACGGGGAGGGAAGCTATGATGCTGTCATCGCTCCAGCGTCTACGCAGATTGTGGCGTTAAGGCCACGATCCTCACAGAGAGCGCCTGGTTTCTCCAACGAGAGAGATCAAGTCCATCAACGAATCGGCGTGAGTCAATCCGATCTCGGACTGGGCCTCCTCTGGGAACTCAATTCGTCACGAAAAACAGAACTTCCCCTGAGTGATTTTCATTCTTCTTTGACTCTCGATCCATGGAAAGTCCACCATGTGAATTTCCGCTGACTCCATAAAATCATGACTCATGATTCATGAGGCAAGATTAAGAGCAGCGTAAACCCCTTGACCTCGAAAGATTGATTGGACTCCACCGGATACTTTCTTTCACTGAGGCTGTGCCGATTCCGCCGGTGCAAGAAGTGCTGCGACGCCGGAAACGTCTGCGAAAATGACTCCAGAATTCTCCATGTAGAGGTCGAGTGGGGTGTCGAGATGGCATCACGAGAACGCCGATTATGGAGTCGAAACGGATGGAAGCATGAGCGCGGGTCGAGCCTCATTTCGTGGGCTTAGTTTCACAGCTCCGTCTCTATGAGGATTTTCTGACTGCATTCTACTGACTGAGTGACTCTGAGGAAGGACAGGGGTCATTGGGACAGCCTTGGTTGCCCGAATTCCGAGAGCCTCCCTAGGTGCACCCTAGGAGGGTCACAGGTCACAGCCCTCATTCTCGGGCAGTTGATGTCGAAAGATTCGCAACTTTCACGGCCAAAGCTCAACTTAGCAAGGATAGCCCCGGCGCGAAAAAGACAAAGCTGCGATCAGCTGGTCGCTGCCAGGCTCGCGAAGCGAGTGGAGGCAGGGATGCGGCCCCTGGCTGATGGGAAGGCTTGTCACCACGGTCCGTGCAAACCAGACCGCGGTCCCGGAACCAAATTAGAGGGTGTTCCTGTGGCTTATGATTTTCAGTTTCCGGACCGCGAGCTCGCTCGACGCCTGTCACTGTCTAAAAGGATAGACTCTGTACTGGTAACGGGACGGAGAAGCCATCGAGCATGGAGATCGGTTCGCCGGGTTCTCACAGTCCAGTTGTGACACTACGATTAGTGGACTTCACTTCGCTCACCCCGAGTCCGAACGCTATCGACGGAAGTACAACGTAAGAACGGGTTTTCCTGCTTCTCACAATCAGCGGTGCTCGCTACGAGTCCAGATACTCACCTTATGGAGCTAACGTATCAAATAGGATCGTGATCGATGGCAATCCCGAACTCAGAATGAAGTTCCAGTTGGATCGACTTGCCCGGGGATCATGGAGAATCACATGCGCTTCTCTCATTTCAAAGGAGAGTCTTCGAAGATTTTTATGAGTAGCCGGATCAAGAAGCGTCGTCCTTCATGCAGCAAATTCTTTCCCGCTCTTGCGGGCCGAGAATACGCGCGCGACTCGACAGGTTCTCATGCCGAAGACTCTGGGAAGTTTCAGATTCACGGGAGATATCCTATACAAGTTCACGGCCGATCCTGGCGTCCCCTCAATGGTTTCGGTGCAGTTTCGTACTCAGCGCCGGAATGGTCGTAAAATGTCCGTGCATATAGATTTTCTGCGTCCATTGACGTGTTCTTTCGAGTCCATCCGCGTCCTGAAGGTTGATCACAATATCTGTCGATCAAAAAGGGCTCCGGTCATCGCCACTTTCCAACTCCAGTCGATAATATGATAGACGAAATGGTTCTGAATTCCGGTCCGCGGTCCATTGGTCCGCCACTCCTCTAGGATGAGCCCTTCATCCTTCTGCATCAGATGATCGAACAGTACAGCGAGTCGCGGCGCTGCGGATCCCTCTCAGGATAAATCATTTGAAGTGAACTTGCTCACGCGGGTATTGGGTATAGATGGATTCAATCGGCGCGGGAGGAGAGTTTCACGCTAGAAGGTACCGTCTCTTGCGCGAGGTACGGGAGTTTGTTTTTCTTCGCACGATATCAATTGTGGACGAGGGAGGTCTGTCTTCAATGGATTTCACAGTTGGAAAATGTTCTCTGTAATATTTCTGACGACTCATCCTACACGCGTCGTCTTTTCTCTCCCTCCCGGATTCGAATTTCTTCCCCCAAGGCATTGGCTCGAGTCGAGAGACCCCACGACTCGCACGAGCAGGACACAGGATATTTTTCAGTGTGCTTCCCGATGCGTCCCAATCTTTCGCTTTGTCCTCTGGAGGAACCCTTGCGATTAATTCCAGCGTTACGCCAATAGTCCCGCATACCCGAAACCCGCAGGGTCGACTCAAGACTCCAAATTAGTCCCGGATGCGGATTTTGCTGAGTCTGCTTGAGGGCACGGAACTTCTGTCAATTTCATTCCGATGGAAGAACTTCCGATCAGAACTTCCGTCTGTGATTGGAGCGCTTTTCGAGCTGTCGATCGATGCCGGATTGAGTGACTCCATTGAGGATCGCAAACCGGATCCCATCGTTGTTAGTCGTCTAGCCTTGGGGGAATCCTGCTCGAGGAAATCTCCCGGAGCAAAAGTCATCGAGTTTCGGAATTATCTTATCGTCGCTCAACATGAAGAAATCTCCCTCTCTCTTCTTTACGAGGACTTGATTGGGCGTAATCTTTCAGTATTCTAATGATGGGGGGGGGAGAAGGCCATCGTGAGCTAGGCCTTCTTCGAATGGAATCGTCATGGCACTCAAGAAGGGATGGAGGTCAGGGGAACGGCCCACGAGGATCAGTCGCGTCGCCATGAAGTACCCGTGAGGTTCGACTCTTCAAGTAAGGTTCAGGTCCGGAGGAGTTTGCGGCGATCCAGCAGCGTAGCTAGGCGCAAAGGCGCTTGGTGCGGACCCCGAGAATGCCACCTCTATCGAGTTCTTCCTCCCACTTTTCTCAAGGTCCCGGTTTTTCCGAGCTTCATCTTGGAAAGTGTCGAAAATGACGCCCCCGGAATCAGCAGAGCCAGGGACGTCCGGAGCGGTCTGCAGCCTTTCTCCCCTCTGGCTGCACTTCTGCGGCGATCCCGCGTCTGACGCGCTGATATCGTTGTGACAGCAAGGTGAGAAAATACCTTGACTCATCAACGAAGCTGTATTCGGACTCGGACTTCAGGAACTCCAGAGCAGCTGTTCAGAGATGTGTTCCGTACCCGTACTGCCCCGAACCAGCCTCGTTGAAGCGTCTGGGAACTACATCATGATTGATGTACAATGATTCATCTTTCGCCCCCTCCTCGCAAGGGTGAGAAAAACAGCGAGTCGAGAATCGCGGAAGGACCTCTGACTAAGACGGCCCCGGCTCAGGGTTTGCAGCCGCTAAGAAAGAGATCGCGTCCTGCGATCGAGAGGCGACCAAATGATGGGGGAAATAGGCCTCGGAATCATCCGGCGGACCGAGAATGGGATCCAGTATCAACAAGTATTTTCATATCGATTGGATGGTCACTGTATGATGATTAGAGCCCGTGAGTTCATGCACTATAAAAACCGGAAATATGCATGCAAATATGCCCTGAAAAAGGGCCGATATATGCATTGAAAAAGAGAAATATGCAAAAAAAAATAGGAGCTTCGTTCAGGTTTTATGATACTTTCTGGAATTGACTCAATCCTGCTTAATACAGGCACAATTTAGGTGACGGGTTACAGTAGACAATGAGATGCATCTTCAAATTTTCAAACGTAAAACGCTGACGACGGGCGCTGAGAAGGTATTTCAAACTAGAGGAGCTCCTTTCAACATCCACCGACGTGATCGGTGCGTACTTGAAGCAGGCTATCTCCGGGGGGTCGCGACCAATGAGACTATCCGCGGAGCTGCCCCCCTGAAGTATGTCCGAGACATCCTTGAGAATACTGAAGCCGCCATTACGAATCACAACCGCATCGCATTTCCTAGGGACCAAATCCCCAACATCACCGGGTGTTTCCTTGAGATCTTTAACAAGTGCCTCGAAGATACCCACGCTTCCTACCAAAGACAGTCCCTTCGGTTCAAGTTTCTCGATGGCATGCGGGAGCTCTCCGAAGTTTGCTTTTATAAGAGCGAGATTGTTCCTTACAGAGGGCTTCCTCACCAATTGAGCAGCCGCTCCGATGCTCGCAGCGTCTCTGACGTCCAGAGCTTTCAAAACCTTCGAAAATGAGTCGAAGTGGTAGGCGTAATAGACCGCCGCGTTCAACCAGGTACCCCATCTTGTCAGAACTGGCTGGGGTGGCAGCGGCACTCCGGGAGCGATCTCGCGGAATGTGCTCACTCGATCGGCGGACTTCAGGAAAATTTTCTTCCCGTTGCAGACCAACTTGTCTACATCCGGGAAGATGTATCCGATTCATCACCGTTCCCATCTATTCTCGGTTGACCATGGCTGTACGTCGCTCTCAGCGTCGAGACCCGCGAGAATCGATGGGATATGCAGAATTATGCCCCAAAGCGCAGAATATGCATTTTCAGGAGGAAGAGCCCAGAATATGCATTTTTATGCATTATATGCATTTTGCATGAAGCCACGGGCTCTAATGATGATCGTTGTCGATGACGCATACGGAGTTTTAGAGTGAGTCCATCCCGGCAGTTCCTAGCGGAAAAGAAGAATGAATCGTGCGGGCCACGAGAATGAAAATTCGGTCCCCGAATTATTCAGATCTACGATATTTTTGCATTCGACACGAGAGTCTTTCCCGAGTTCCCGCGACCTTCGGGAGCCCGCACCTTCCCTTCCTCGCTTCCTGCCGCCAAAGTTTCCGACCAATTACAGTCACCTTGTCTTTCTCTACTTGATCCGAATGCTTGAGGAAGACAATCCATCGAAGCTCAAATGACACAAGGGACACGGGAGGAAATGAGAACACGTCACGGAATTCTAATTCCCCCAAATGGATAAAAAAAACGAATATTCCCCGAGCTGGACATGAGTATAGGGAAAACAGGAGCAACTTGATTGCTGTACTCACTACGTGGTAAAAATAAATTTCCCTTTTGGCGAAGCTTGAGGAATTTCGACGAAGGCGCCCCTGGTTCTCGATACGGCGCAAACTCGTGGTAGTTTCCTCCGTCGTTTTGAATTCTGGAGGCACATGCTGAAAATGACGCTCCTGAAACCAGCACAGGAAGAGGCGCTTGAAACGGTCTGCACCTCGGACCCCCGGACTCGGACATCAGGAACTCCGAAGCCGCCAAACGAATATATCTCCCATGCCCACTCTGCTCGCGGAGAAACAAGACTTTGGTCGAGATTCTCCACGATTTTTCATTCGGACACCATATTGCTTCGTTGATGCGTCAGGAGATCTCATCATGAATTATGTTCAATGTTCCATCTTTCGTGAAAAGTCTCCGTAGCAGTTTTCTTCTCGTAAGGGCAAGAAGAGCAGCCGATCGAGGATCATGGTAGGACCTCTGAGACGGCCCCAGCTCAGGCTTCGCATCTGCCAGCAAAGAGATCGCGTCCTGCGATCAAGAGGCGGTGCAAATGCAGGGGTAGGAAGGTAAGGTAGTCATCCGGCGGACCGAAAATGAGATCCAGTATCAACGAGTATTTCCACATCGATTGGATGTTCACAGTATGATGATCTTTGTCGATGACGCATACAGAGTTCGAGAGTGACGGCAGGTCTTGGCGGAAATGAAGAATGAAAGTTCGATCCCAGAAGTATTAAGATATACGATATTTTTTCAGTTGACATGAGAGTCTTCCCGGCTTTCCGCGACCGTCGGGAGCTCGCACCTTTCTACCCCGCTTCCTGCCGCAAAAGTTTCCGACCAATTACAGTCACCTTGTCTCTCTCTTCTGGATCCAAATCGCCTGAGGAAAGCAATCCATCGAGACTCGAATGAGACAAAAGACACGGGAGGAAATGAGAACACGTCACAGGATTCCAGTTCCTCAAGATGGATAGAGAAAACGAATGTTTCCCGAGTTGGACATGAGGATTGGTAAAACAGGAGCCACTTGGATGCTATACTCACTGGTGATAAAAACATATTTCTCTTCAGGCGACACTATGGGAACTTCGTCGAAGGCGCCCCCGGTTCACAAAGCGGCGCAAACTCGTGGAGGTTTTCTCCGGCTTATTTTGAAGGCTCATTTTGAAAATGACGCTCTAATCACCAGCACACGAACTAGCGCTTGAAGCGGTCTGCACCTCGGACCTTCGGACTCAGACATCAGGAACTCTGAAGCCGCCGAATAAATATTTCTTCCGGGCTTACCCCGCTCGTGAACAAACGAGACTCTCGATGAGATTCTCCACGATTTTTATTCGGACACAAACTAGCCTCGTCGACGCGACAGGAAATTTCATCATAAATTATGTACAATGGTTCGTCTTTCGCAAACAGTGTTCTCCTCACAGCAGGGGGAAAAGTAGCGAGTTGAGAATCGCAGGAGGACCTCCGAGACGCCTCGAGCTCAGGGCATGTATCTGCCAGGGAGAAGATTGCGTGCTGCGATCAAGAGGCAATGTATGTAATTGTGGAAGAGGGCCTTGAACTCATCGGGCAGACCGAGGACAATTTTGTCTAGGATCAGCAGGGCCGTTCTGTCGGCCTGATAATTGTCTTTGGGAAACTTCGCGGTGATCGCGTGTTCGAAACACCATATTGGGAGTCTGAGGCTGTTCTGGCAGAGATATGAGAAGTCTTGAGTCATGATGCGCGCCTTCTTCAACAGTTTAGGTCCATAGCTCTGGCGCTGTTCTTCCGTCAGAGATTCCCACTGGATATCGAGTTCTTTCGTCGTAAGCGGAACGATCGATGTGCTGCAATCGTAGACATAGGCGTTCATAATTCGGATTCACGTTGACCTGGAACTCGAGAATCAAGGAGAATTCATTCGTAGGACTCACCGGTACATGTTTGGTTCAATCGATGCAACATGGACCCCGAAAGGCGCCATTTCTGCGCGGAGACCGTCGCACATAGCCAATGCCGCGTGTTTCGACATTGAGTACGGGATCAGCGTCGGCGGTGAGAAGCGGGAGGCGAAACTGTTGGTTATCAGGAACCGTCCTGAAAGGGGTCGTTTTCCATTCTAGTAATTGGGTAATGACAGGCGGATTCGTATCAGGGAAGCGCATTCAGGTAGATTCTCAGCGAATAGCACGGCGATCGGAATTCTCTCGTTTCCACATCTGAGCCGGTAGGAGAATGATCATCCCGACCTTCCGAGGAGCCAAATCAAATCGCGACAAGCGCTGGGATTCCCCGCCGCTTCAAACTTTTTGAGTCTTCGCTCGGCGATCGAGTTCGTTGAGTTCGACGGGGCTCTGACCAGGGTTCAATCATCGGCACTTCGATTTCATCTCCGCGGGAAGAACAGTCATATCATAAGTCATAGCATTGGAGCATCCGTAGTACTCCGCTTCTACGGCGCGTTCTGCAGACCAGGCACCAGACCCGCTCCACAGAAAATGCATGAGGATCGTCCTGAAGGCCGACCGGCTACTCGCGGCAGTGCTGACGTACCATCCACAAAATATTCGGTTTCCTCATGTATAGTGAGCAGCGTTTTCGCGGTGTGCGAATCGCTATTAATGTCTGCGTTTGATATCGGCATCTAGTAAGATCTCAAGAGCCTCTCAGGGGCTCACGTATCGAAAGTGAGGAATCAGGTGTGACAGGGATTAATCACCTTTTGATTTGCGGAGTAACGGAGCGAACGCTGTGAATGTTCTCATGGCGCCGAACACATTCACTTCAAACAATTTCTTGACTTTCTCAGGCGTTGTCCATTCCAGATACCCATAGCTTCCGATACCGGCGTTCGCCACGGCTGCCCAAAGCACTGCAAATCGGTTGTGTTCAGTTATCTCATGATCGGAAAAGGGATTCCGAGGACTTTCTCATACACCGGAGGGTGAGGAAAATTGATGATTACATTTTTTTCTCGTCACAATCGATCTATGTACTGAAGTCGCGACAGTCTGCTGCCAATGCTTCATCGCGAGCAAGCTGTTCCTAAAGGAGTTCCCCTACCTTGTTGTTCGGTCATATTCTTCTTGACGAGATCTACCGCATCGGCGAGACTCTTGTCGCTTGTGACGTCGCAGGGTACAATAGTTACCCCACCTTCACCCTCCGAATCCGGGCAGCCAGACTCGCGCAGCTGTTGTGCACCTTCACCGTCTGGGAAGAGGCAGCCTGCGAACACTTTATAACCCTGTAGAGCCATCCGATCCGCCAATCGATGACCGAAACCACTGTCGCAACCTGGAATGTATCGGCGAAGTTTTACTCGAATGAGGAGGCCGTCCCGAGAGAATGGTCCTCTGCCCCGCGGAAGGCAGTGTCGATTCCAAGGATCAGGGTGCACATGCCTTCCCTGTCATCTCGGGCATCGATGAGCATTTTTTTGGAAAACTATCGATCTCTACGGCAATCACTGCCAGGATCCTGAACGGCTTGGATGACATGGCATGAGCATGGGATGATTCCTCCAGCTTCACCAGGCCTCTCCTCGGAGAACAGGGAAAGTTAAATCCTCGACGAGCAGTCAGGGGAATCATCACGCCAATCACCGATTGTATGCAGGTGCCGTACTGGCCGGAATCTGGCCGAACATTAACCAGAAGACCGATTCGATTTGTTCTCGATGAGAATTTTCAAATTGATTGGATGTTCACGGTATGAAGATCTTTGTCGATGCCGCATACAAAGTCCTGCGGTGAGCCCATCCCAACAGTTGCTAGCGAATATGAAGAATGAATCGTGCAAGCCACGAGAAGGAAAATTCGGTCCCTGCATCATCGAGATCTACTACTTTTTTGCGTTTGACATAAAAGTCTCTCCCGAGTTTCCGCGACCTTCGGGAGCCCGCACCTTCCCTTCTTCACGTCCAACCGGAAAATTTTCCGATCAATTACAGCAACCTTGTTTTTCCCCATCCAAAGTGCTCGAGGAAAAAAATCCATTCGAGCTCAAATGAGAGAAGGAACACGGGGGGAAATGAGAACACGTCACAGGATTCCGATTTCCCCAAATGAATGAAAAATAATTGTCCCCTGAATTGGTGATGAGAATAGGGAAAACAGGAGCGAACTCGTTGCTGTACTCACCCGTGATGAAAATACATTTTCCCTGTGGCGACACTCTGGGAATTTCGATGAAATACAAAGCGATTTGTGCGACAATCCACGAAACAGCCAGAGACACTGGGAGGAGCACCAACCACGCTGGCAAATGATATCCTTGAGTCATATTCCATGCACAATGTACGACAGAATCGTGGCTGGATAGGTACACAACGGCGATCGCGCAAACGGTCCATGTCAGCAAGCGTACAGCAACCATCCCTGAAGTGAAATCCAGCGAAATCATGAAGTGAGCGAACGCAATGATTAGACTACTTAACATTAGCCCGAAAGTCTTTCCGGCAGAAGTCAGGGGATTCACAAGGAGGAAAAAACAATGGGATGGAGAGGCGATCAATTTTCGCGAGGTATCGAGGACGGCAGCTTTCCGCTTACAGAATACGGCCCAAGACCGTACAAGTTCTCAAGCCATCGCCTTGGATACCTTTGCGTGGAAGGGGTGGCAAATAGAAACCAGGAGAATCGCCGGCGAATAAATAAACTATCGTTCAGCCTCTGTTGTTTGCCATCCCTTACAGAACGCTTTACATTCGAACTTTTTCAAACCATGCGTAAGGCGAAAAACTAGACGCCTTCCACTAGTAACGTTCCATATTTGATGAGAGCCTGTCGCGCGGTGTCACCGAGGGGGACTCGTACGTAGACAGCTCCCGTGTCATCAGCCTGCGTGGATTCGGGTTTTCGCTCGATTCTGCGAGCAGTTCGACCCCGCCGACCAGTCAAGCGGATAGCCCATGTTCATTTCCATGATACGTCGCTGTCAACATCGGATCCCGAAAGGTCCGGTAAAGATGCGACGGCTCGTATCCCGTGGCAGTTCGTTCCCGTGCGAAAGTTGCCTGGGCCACGCGGTGAGCTCGATGATTGTTTTCCAGCTGTCTTGCGAGGGGCATCGGCACTCCAGTGCTCCTCCAGCGGCGGCGGAATATGTCTCCGGAGACGTCTGTCCTAACCTAAGATATCCGCGGACCACCTGGAACTCTTCCCATTGACGGATATGATCCTTATCGGATCCGCGGTTTCAAGAGTCGCCGCATTGGGTCGCAGTCTTCTCCGAGGATTCAGATGTGAGAGTCGATCTTCCTGCTCAAATCGAGCATAGCCCGATTTACACCATACGAATTGGGCTTCTGAGGGAATTGAGAACGGCTCCGCGCGAATCTCAGGTCAATTGTCACGGACTTCCCTCCAAATCGAGCTCCTAGCGTGTGAGAGGCATCAATTGCAGCCCCTCCGGCGAGCGTCGTGATGGAATTTCTCGATTGCGCACGTTCCGCTGAACTTTGACGAATTGGATCATTCGCAAAATCTAAAGGAAAATCAGCGAGCTCTGGCGACACAAATGAAAGCGCGAGTATCAGCTGATCGCGGATCAGTTAATCACCTGTGACTGGAGAGTGCTCCTTTGATAGATCCTAACGGTGTTCGAACGCAGTCAATGCTCTTGGGAACAGGTGTGATGGAGGGCTCCTGATACACGCGCACAAACAGAGTGAAATGAACCAAGTCGTCGGCCGTAGTCGAAAGGTGTGACCTTTTCTTCTCGTGGATGTTGCTCACTTGAAGCAAGTGGAGTCGAAGAAGTTCTGCTTCTCAGCCCGCCGCCAGAACGGCTGATGGCTCCTTGGTTGACGCTCTTTAACTCTAAAGAGAAGCAGACAGCGCATGCGCCGCCGGAAAGGGACCCACGAAAAGTGGGAGAGAATCTTGTTTGAAAGAAAGCAAGTTCTGGTTCGATATCGGCGAGCGACCGCGCGACGCTAGACGCCGGGCCACAGAAAGCTCTTAATGAAGATTCCTTGCAGGAGACTCAGCGTATATCGACTTTTCTGCATCACGATATGTTTCGTAACTTCTGTGCCGTTGTCGAGCAAGAGGATTACTGTAGGAAATCTTCATAAGTCAATGGCTGCTCTAAGAATAATTACCGCACTGATCAACGATGCGTGCACCTCCATGAGACAATGGAAAGTGTTCCGGAAGAGCTAATTCACGAAGGAAACTGGAATAATTCATATACGTCTCGCGCTTCCAAAGAATCCACGAGTTCCAGTAACGAGAAATTGCCTCCTGTGATTGCGGACACAGAATTGTTCTCACAAGAGCCGAGAGCTGAGTCTCCGCAAGGGAAATGATCACGACGAGAGCGAGCAGGAAAAGTAGGGGAAAAAAATTGAATACTATGATTGCCCTTATCAGAACCCTGGAGAATCACCTCAGTTGTCTCCCGCGGAACGGCGAAAGGGAAGCTCCGAATACCATCGAGTGGAAACGCGTGAGGAGGCGCACACGAGGAAACTTTGAGCTGGCTTGAAGAAACATCGTCCAGACTTCTTGGACAGTCATCTCTAAGTTCTCACGGAGCTCGGCTGACAGATTGATCAATCATCCTGGTCCCTCACGCGCGACGTACAAACAGAGCCTGAGGTTGGTCGAAGGTCTATCGGAAGGAAAACCTCGCCTCGATCATCTAGACTTTGATCGACATCAATCGAATCTCAAGATGGACTCATTGTGAGTGTTGGAAAGGGTTCAAGGACGCCTATGAAGCTCACCGCAAACTTCCGAAATGCAATCAACATGACCACCAGGATTTGTCTCCGGATCTCACCGCAATCCCAGGGACTAGATATCCTACTTTTGATGAGTTTCTCATCAGAAGTCAACGCCTCCACTCTTTCAATCCGACAGGATACGGCCTAGAGTCTAGGCCCTAGACGGATTATCTAAGCTATGTTACTAGACTACAATTATAAAATCCTAATTTTCCCGATCTGAAAGCATCGAATAGACAGTAGGATACGACTCTCTCCTCTGTGTCACAACAGAACACCTCCTCGTCATTCTGAAGTCTGAATTCTGTTCTCCTCCCGGTACTCCGACTGAACTAGTGGAGCTTCCTCTCACGAGATTCCCCATCAGTAGGTGTAGAAATCACGTAGCTTTATTTATTCATGCATGAATTATTGCGATCGATCGGCCTCAGCTCTGCAGTATCTTCTCTATGGGATCGCGCGGTCTCGTCATGTAACGGAACAGCTCCACGTGGAAATGAACTCCGGCTCCGAACAGATAGAGCGCGATAATCGCCCAAATCCCGTTGAATGTCTTATTGATATTCCGGTAAGAATACTGGAACACGTCTTCTTTACTCGCTCTCGAAGTCGAATCGTCCCGGGGTTCTTCGGAATAGTCGAAGCTCGCCACGGTGACCGTCTCGCCGACGTTATCGGACTTCTTGTTTTTCTTCACCCCCTTATCTCCTGAATCCCCTTGCTGTTCCCCCCGGGGCTTTTTAATTTCATCCTCGCCATTGTCGCCCTTCTTCCTCTTCCGGTTCCTATCGGCTCTCGCCTCGAGTCTGACATCAGCAAGAGCTGTGCCGTTGCTTGAATCTTCCTCTGTCGAATTCGTGTCCAATTCCAGGTCTTGAGAACCTGCGGAAAAGTCTGGTAGATCTTCGCGGTTGTCTGTAGAGTTCATTTCCGGGTCCAGATCTTGGGAGCCCGTCGTGAAGTCCGGTAGATCGTCGCGGCTGTCAGCCGATTTTGCTGAAACAACGTCTTCGGGAACGTCGTTCTTCACATCAGGCGCGGCAGCTACGTCGCTCTCATCGTTGCCGTACGATTTAGCGGCAGGAGAAAGTGCCACATCTTCTGGATCGACAGCCTTCACCGAATCGAGAGGCTCAGCGCTCGAGGCTCCTCCCGGAGCGATCGCCATGGGTGCGAGCATCAATCTCTCGCTGACGGGATTCGCACTCTTGTCTAAACTGAGTGGCTTATCTCCTTCATCGAGACGGAGAATCGAAGCTGAAGGATAGGCAGGGCCTGGCTTCGAGGATGCAAGGCCCGCTGGTTGTTCTGTCGCGTTGTTCGCGTCACCTTCCGCTCCTCCCGTGGAAACGTTTCCATCGACTGGGACGTCGACCAGACTGTCTTGTGCCGATACACTACCGAGTGAACTGGGGTCGGTCAGGATTGAGGGACTTGGCCCGAGGGCGTCGGTTGGGGTCTCGCTAGAGCCCGATGGCTCTCCGTTAGGCCCTATCGAAGCTGCTCCGGTGGGTTCAGACTCGCGTCGCTCCACAGATTCATTCTCGAGCCGCGCGAGCGCCGAACTATCCAGTCGCTCCCCCGCTTCATGATCGAACCGCTCGACAGTCTCTGGGTTGACTCGCTCGACGGGTTCAGACTCGGGCCGTGCGCCAGGTCCCGCTCCAAGCCCCGATTCAGCCGCGGCCTTCCCAACTGCCTTGGCTAAGACGCCAGGCGATTCTCTGGTGTCTGTGTCGTTCGGTGGGTTGGCTGCCGCGTCGGGCGATTCACTGGGTCCAGAATCAAGCTCTACACCCGGTTGGGCGCTAGGACCTTCTACGAGCTTCTCGTCGGCAGACGCGACGGATGGAACACTCGTAGCTGCGTCTGCCCTCGCTTCGACTTCCAAGTCCTGCGGTCGAGTGGAATCCTGTGAAGTGCTCTCGCCCAAGAGAGCGCTCTGGACTGGAGCAGCCGAGTCCAGGGCCTCGGAGTCCTCGCGCGAAACCAGACTGGGGGGAGCAGGCGTACTCTGTTGGTCTGCTGCTCCTTCCAATCCGTCTCGGGACTCGTCCGTCATTTCTCCTGATTCCATTCGGGCTGGTCCAGGCGGATCCGAGTTTTGGCTTTCCCCCGTAGAGACCCCGGTTTGACTTTCGGTCGCAACTTCCACTTTGCCGTTTGCAAGCACTGGAGCCTCGGATTGGTGCTCTGAATCAGGCGAAACCGAACCAATGACCCCAGAACCTAGAAAAACCCAACCCTGAGAATTTCCCTGGATACCACGCGGAAGGCAACATGTCTAATGCGTCTGGGTGTTATGCGTCGACCGGCACATCGGACTCGAAAAAGGATAGCTAACCGGCCGAGTATACTTCTGCGGACGTGGTTCCCTCTGACCCGATCTCCCCACGGTCGAGTTGTCGAATGTTTCTCCTAAAAGGCGATTGTCGCAATCTACTCCATCGAGCACCTGAGGAGGAAAGAACGCGGGCTTGGATGAGTTCACTAAGACGGAACAGCCTATTGAGGACATAGACGTATCGAGACGTTATTCTCGGATAATTAACGAAAGAATCTACCTCTTCCTGGAGCTGCAGCTGACTCTCCAGCGGAAATGCAGACCGCGACTGGGAACGAGCGCGTTAGTAATTCATTCAGCGTTGTGATTCTATCAATTACGGAGTGGATAGTCGTCCACTCCGAAAGCTCAATCTAGATGTTGATTTTCTACTCACGAATTATCAACACCAATGTTTTGAAAAAAAGTCCCCTCGATGGGCTTCCACCTAGAAACTGTGATTGACGAAGCATCGTCGTCTCAGAACGAAACTGTCTTTTTTCAGCATCATATCATAGCAATACTACAGGTCTGTGCAGCGAGACTTCCTTACCGCGAGCCGCGTCAGGACGAATTTTCGCTAAGACGTACGATTTTTCTTCGATATCTCGGTCGGTTATCCGTGGACTCGGACAGCGATTTAAGACGACTAATTCGCACGCTGTTTTCCGCGTGAGACTACCGAGGGTCGTCACGGATCCCCGAATCGGGAGCTCCCAGCAGTCCAGCTCCCCGATTGAGGAAACTCTTGAGCAGACCCTGGCGACGGCAATACCAGGAAACTGATTGAGCTTTGACTCTGGATGTTTCCCGCTGAGGATTAGAAACTTTCCGAAATGGTTCCTCGGGAAGTCGGAGGGATCGGCACATTCGCGAAAAACGGATGAGCAATGTCAACTTCGCGCTAAGATTGGTTTTTCGCTCTCTGCATCTTAGAACATGCTACACTCCTATGAAGGGCTGGACCAATGCTCAGAAGAGGCGCGATTCCGTTCACATAATTTAGGGCTGTCGATCGCAATGTGTGGAGACGGAAGATCAAGAGCCCCAGAGCGATAATAAGAACACTTTTCGTCGATCCGATGTCTCCGGATCCGGATAACATCGAAATTTTGGATGTTTTGGAGGACGTGATTGAATGACTGGGACTGGAATTATCCTGTATAGTGATCCGTGATTCGGTATTAGGCTCGCGTCTCGCGCCGCTCTCGCATTTCCCAGTCAACCAGATCATATTCTTTTCGAGGAGATCGACTTCCAAGCCCTTTCTCTATGAATTCAAGTGATCGCTGACTGGTGTGCATTCAACCCACTTTGAATCTCATTGGGAGTCGGAGAAAGATAGTGTCGAGATAGAGATATCATCGAGGACGATGTGCAGAGCGGAATATTGGTGCCCCCGACCTCACACGGAAAATGCCGCGGTTTCGCTTTACAGCCGTGTGGAAGATGAAAGTTATGGCTCGAGGAAATCATCGCTTTGAATCCTTTCTCAATGTCCTTGATGAGAAGACTGGCTACAACTCTCCCCTCGGCATTCTGAATCAAATGACTTTCCTGAAGTTGATCCTGCGGCAGACGGTCTAATCACATAATATGAAGCATTCTGTCTATCGGAAAAGGATCTCGGAACGGACACTGTTCTTCAGATTCAAAGTACAATACCTATGTTCTCTGACATGCTCACCTCACGCGAGCCACTGCGTTTTGTTTCGAAACGACGATGCTCCTCGTCCCAGAGTTTTGGGGAAACTCCCCGTGGAGGAGAATATATTCCGGGTTAGTGCTGGCCTTCTGTGAGTAGAGTTCTGGACTCCGGATGACCCATAATTGCTGCCTCCAAAATTTCGATCCAGCCCATCATTGGCGGAATCATGACTTACTGACGACCTACTAACTCTTGTTGTCCACAGTCGTCATCGGCTCAGCTACTGAAGCGTCTGCGGGACCTCTGAACGAAAGAGGTGGGGAGCTAGATTCTCTCTTGTAGAATTCTCAAGGAATTTCCCAATTCCATCATGATCATTTCCGGAGTCACCTCTCTCGCCCTAACGAACCCATAATGAAAAAATGACGTTGGTATACGCAGGCGGTCGAGGCAGTCATGTGCGACAATTGCTCTCGGAAATAAGTGTCCATGAGCCGGATCGAAAGGAGACCGGGGCAAGAGGAGCCGCGACAAGCTCAGATGTCTCGAAGGGTAGATCAACCGGATGGCTCTATATCCCTTTCGCTACGCTAGGATGAATAATCTAGGTCTCCCTCGGCGCAAGGGAGCCTCCTATCCGAATTTGAGGAAGTGATGTTGAATGATTTTCCGTAGATTCGGGAGCCGCTGCTCCTGTCGCGGCGAATTCGGGCAGGAGAGCCGCGGCAAAAGAGGGAAATCAGCCTGAGATCAGAAACCAGGCTTCCCACCCGCTGGCGGATCTGTATCTGGTTCCGCAGGCAGCGAGCGATAGCTTGCACTTCCAACATTATCATGACGACGATGACGACTACTTAGACGATGCTGATAATTTCGAACCTTTCCCGCGTGGTCGATATCCGGAACAGATCCCCCCAGGAGCCCGACTCGGTGAAGCCGAACCCTCTGGACGCTCGGGAAAAACCGCCGTCGACGATGAGCACGCCCAACCCCCGAATGCGAGACAGTTCAACATTCCCCAGGCCGGAGGTCCAGAGAGCGTGAGGGGAATTCCAAAGGCGGAAAATAGTCCCTATTCAGAGAAGGATCGGCTCCCGGCGCATTTCGAGCCCGTTTTCAACCCTGTCGTACCGCCGGTCGACGATCCGTTCCCGCCAAAGCAGCTCGACGTGGAAGATCCCAGAATGATTTTCCATGAGGTCGGTGACAACAACCTCTACAACAATCAGGTGAAAATGCCTGATGGATCGATCGAGTCTGAGGTCACGGCTACCTGCGGTTCTCTCGCTTGGACGCAATATCTGTCGGCAAAGCACGGCGGCTTCGGAATGTTCATGATTATTCTCGTGCTTCTGTATGTGTTCTCTTTCTGCTGTTTCATGCATATCCGATGGATTGCGCAGAAGCAGAACACAGGGGACAAGGAGATCTTGTGAAAAATCAATGGTTGTGGTAATAAACATTTGATTAGAACCTGCAGCGAAGATTGCATACGTAACAGATGACGACGGTCCCAACCTCTCTCCGAGACCTACAAGGAGCTCCCCCAAATCTCGAGATCAATGGTACTAAACTATCTGTCGATTCGTCCGATCCGGTGAGTCTTCGCCGCGAACACTTTTACTCGATTGGAGCGGATCTGAGCCATGGCGTTGACCCCATCGGTGTCCATCGCTGCCTTGATGGATTAAGGGGGGTCATTCAATTGAAAACACTGATGGCCTGATTCCAATCTCTCGCGGATGCGCATCCCACTGTGCGGCTGATGTATAATGTGGATCATTGTCGGTCGCGATCGCACCTTGTTTTCGACAAATAACTCATGATCTTCGCTGGATGACTCCTCAGGACTACCTCCGAGTCGGAGCATTCACGCGATACGCCACAGGCTGGCTGCGAGCCGTTTATGTCATTCTCGCCGAGACGTATGAGAGGGAAGTCATTCAAGTTTGGGACAATTGGGGGAGGGAAATTTTGGAGCCAGGCTCCAGCCATTTCAAAGCATGACCCGAGCTCGGTTGACCAAGGGAAACGAGAAACTCGGACGCCGGAGAAGCGCTATCTCGCGATCGTCAGAGACCTCGTCCATAATCCGGTTTCCCATGGTCGGAGCCCTCGCCGCTCTAATAGTACAACCCACCTGAACAACATCGAGGTAGCGACGAACTATGGACGAGTGCAGGACCGAAACAACACTGACGCCACAAGCAGCACGGATCGATACCGGGCCGTAATTCTCTGTCCTTCGAGCTGTGTATTGCGGTCTCCGTAGAGCAAATAATCAAATGCTGCGTCTCCGTATGTTGTATCATTGTCGAGGACAAGCCGCTCTTTCTATTCGGGAATCGAAATCAGCTCCGAGATGACGAGGCACCGGGCTTCATGAACAATCGACCGACTGAATCCGGGTGGGATGTCAAAATTATCAATACTTTGAGAATTCGTCGAATACCGCTCCCCTTCAGGATTGGGGTGGCGCCCGGGAGCTACACGGGGAGCTCGATTCACCATATGTCATGGGTCGGATGATGACAAAAGGGGGAGGCTACTCTAGAGCCCTTCCGAGAGCTTCGTACACCAGTAGCACGAAGATGCAGCTCCGAGGCCAGCAAGACATCCATTTCAGCGGCGACGATCCGGATGTTGAGATGCAATGCGATATAACGGGTCGAGCTCCAGCTCGAAGAAACCGCAATGGGCCTGATACCTACGGCGGCGCGGGCGTCTGGGTCCTGACAGGATCATAAGATACGCCAACACCGTATCTTCATATGAGCACGATGTTATTTCCGACCTCGCGCTGTGACCGTCTGAGGGTCAACAGAGTTATATTGTTCTGGATCAGACGCTCCCTGGAGTTTTCCTTGAAGATACTGTCAAGATTTCCATCAGGATCTCCGTCTCCTCCAGGTTTCCACTGCAGTTCCCGACAGGTCCTCCGTCAGGTTTCCACTCTGGCTCTCCGAAAGGTCCTCCTCCAGGTTTCCACTCCGACTCTCCGGAAGGTCCTCCTCCAGGCTTCCACTCTGGCTTTCCGGAAGGTCCTCCTCCAGGTTTCCAGTGCAATTCCCCGTCGAGACCTCTCTCCCGAGTATGCTTGACCCAGTCTCTGTGTCCGATTCATGGATTGGAGGACCCTCATTATTGCCGATTCGGGGTCGACAACGCAATGGTTTGCGCGCAGCGAGGAGTGGGTAAACGCGATCGCAGCCGTGTCTGATGAACATACAAACGTGTCAGTCGACAAGGCTGCCGCCGCGCAAGCAATGAGCATTCATTAGACTGGGAACAGGATCTAAGCTATGGTCTGTTGTGATTCTCTCAGCAGTCGGGGACTTTTTCCTCTCTACGGGAGCATATCAGCCATGAGTCATGACCTTCGGTGCCCTTATCGCTGCGAAAACAAGCTCATGAAACCAGATCCGAATGCTTTCGTGCAAACGAAGATGTTTGGATGGAGGATGATGGAGGACGACATTCGATACTGAGCCCGAAGCCCGGAGGGATACCGCGAGTCCATTTCAACTCTTCTGTTTCGTCTCAGAACCAGGCCCGGATGCCCCACATGCATCAGATACTGCGCCATTAAGTCACGCGTCAACCGTGGAATCTTCGTCTACAGTGCAGAACTTGAGAGGCGCTCAGCAGGGGGCTATGCCGGGCTGGTGTCTGGAGCCCGATATTGAGTAATGGGGCGGGGAGGGAGAATTTTCCAGGATGTTTCCGAGCGACGGTTCAAGTTCGAAGACCTCAAAATTTCCGCGATGGCCAGACCTCTTCCGAAACCTCTCCGCTTCCTCATCCAGAAGCCGACACCGCAAACCCGTTGCTGTGCCGATGAGGATGATCTCAGCTCACGATCACTGAAATAAGTTTCCTGTGCGGGCGTGAGTGATGACTAGAACTGGAAGAAGGGAGAGAATGCCGCGAAAACCGTCTGTTGCTGTTGGCACAGGCGCTCCGGTCGCTGGCTCGCCCGTGCGCAAAGAGCAGCCCCGTGAGCGCCGCCGGTTCAACTTCTCGAGCGCTGTGCCGTAGTAAGTTGGCCCATTGGAAGCAAGGGAGCCCTTTCCTCGCGGAGTGGAGGGGAATTGGCCGGACAGGCGGCGGGCGGTCGGGCGGGCGGGCGAGAGGGCGTCCAACTTGGATGAACTGCTGCTGCCTGCCTGCGTGCTTGGCTGACTGGCTGGTTGCCATTCGCTGTGGGAGCTCCTGCAGTTTTTGCAGCGAGCGAGCGAGCGAGCAAGGCAAGCAAGCACACTCACACAGACCGACACACTCCCTCCCTCCCACAGCCGCACAGTCATCACAACAATACCCTGTGTTTCCATTCCACGGTCCGAAGTTACCGAGTGTTAAAGTGGAAAACGGTGCGCGACTTAGATGTGCGTTTATAAATAGTGAAAGCTCGTGGATACACCGGGAGCCATGGCCGCGCGCGAGGTAAGTCCATTGGGTGTAAACACACTCTGTCGAACATCGAACGAGCCCAGGTCCCACCCTTGACGAATTCTGCTGCATTTCGACGTTAGCCGAGCCGTCAAAGCTCACGCGGGGACGACCGTCATCGTCAAACGAATGACATTCGCCGAACAAATTCGACAAGAGCGCAGGTACCGAGTAGATGCTCGTTGTAAAGAGTCGAACCCGTACACTGTCGCGTTTACCTGTGCTCGGTCGGATCGAGCTCGAAGTAGGGCATCTTCCGTGTTTCTCTATTCAGCAAACGACTGTGGTGAAACCAGACGCTAAGTCTGTACTTGCCCGACAGACGTCTCGACAACACTTGACCATTAGGGCTAGTCGACCGTGTTTATGTTTTCGGTTATGTGTTCGTCTCCGGCGAAGTGTCACCGTTTTGCCAGTACGACAATCTGTCGATTTTGCGTCGTCGACGTTGTTAGACGACGCATCGTTTTTATCCTCCTGACTGACTGATTGAGTGAGCGAGAGTCTCTGGACGGAGAGTAACAGGATTTTTATCGAACAAAAATATAGTCCGGAGAAGAAAGACCCATTTGTTCCCAATCTCATCGTTGTTCGTATGAGTGTGCTAGCATTCGACCAGAACTAGACGTCTAAGGTCTTGCTTGTATGTGAATCGAGCTCCATGAGCGGCGGCGTTAACTGCAAAAAGTTAATCGCCCCAATCTGACACACATCGAGACCGATGCTCCTGTTTTGGTTTGTTTACAATCCGTCATTACTGCGTTTCCTCCAAGAAAGCTCGATGTTCGTTGAGAATGGCACTCGAGCAATTATCTTCTCCCTGGAACGCTTCTGACAAGGGAGGGACCATGAGCCGTCCAGAATGCCGTACGGAGAATATGTGGGATTATCCTCTGCCCTTCAGAGAAGTTTCTTCCGAACCCTGGCTTCAGGGCTCGAGATGTGTCTGAGAGAAGTTCCTCAGCCTTCATGCAAACTTTTTCATTCTCGAACTCCACTAGGATCGGAGCTCCGGCCCACTTTGGTACCCGGGCTTTGACCATTGATGCGGAGATGGGCTCAAACCAATGCTCTCGATATCGTGACCGACAAGGACGGCGTATGGAACGACCTCCACCGATATCGTGCGCCACCGATCAATCAGCTTCTTGGTAGAGTTGGGATGACAGGCTTTTGATGCCGAGAATATACAAAGAGTTTAGCGGAACGTTGGCAGATCGGCTCGGCTTCACTCGTCAGTGAATTTCGAACTTACTTCCCTGCATCGATGCAGTCAGTCGAATGAGCGGATGTTCGAAAGAATGGACAACCGCGATCCAAGAGCTCCGCTCCCGACGCGGAGGGCTTACGGGGAGTTGATCCATGGTCTGATGGAGAGAAGTTTCGACGGTGGAGCGATAGTCAGGAGCATTCCTTTCCCACCGACTCTCGGTCCGATTGTCCATCGCAACCTCCGTATGTGACGAACTCGATGTGCGATCCTCTCCTTCATCCCTGAAATTTGTCTCCCAAAAAGCTTCGGACAGGCATGATCACGAGCTGAGATTCTGATGCCCGAAACTTTCGTTCGCATCCTATCCGAGCGAAGGGAAAAGTCATTCTCGGCATCCGACATCCCGCGAAGACGTCAACTGTCAAGTCCCAGGATGCGTTTGAGACGACGGATCGGCCAAGCAGTAATGATCCCATAATAATTCACCAGTCGGATTTCGCGGAACGCAGGACGTCTCTAAAATGATCAGACGTACGGCGCCGGCGCACATAGGCCTGAGCCACGCATTATGGAATTCGGATGGCTGTCCGGCGAGCCGACGGATTGAATAATCCTCACCTGCGGCTTTCCGTTCGATGAATTGATCGAAAGTGTCGATAGAATGATGACTATGTCCTTGGTAAATTACCAGCAGATAGACGAGGCACCTTCGCGCTTATGAAGACACGCTTCCTTCCGATGATTCGTGACAGGCGATCATATCGTCCAAGTTCCTCCGTAGCGTGCGCTTGGCTACTTTCGGATATCTGCAAAGAATGCGGCCCGGACCCGTGAGGACCGGAAGATTGTCTTGAGATAGGTACTGCGGTGTTTGACAGGGGCGGGGGACTTCATTAGACTGCCTGTTTCTATGTACTATTGGGTCTCGTTTTGCTCTTCCCGTTCTGGTCAGCGACGCAGAGGTTTCCTCTGCTATGTCAACCCATGTGTGCAGTTGCTAGGTACCGTGTTTCACGGTAGGATCCTGAGCGACACATGCCACTGAGGGGAACGGAAACACGCACAGCCGGCAGAGGAGAAATCATCGAAACTTGTCTCTTGCGAGGAGCGAGCGAGAGCCAGATGTCGGATCGGCGCATGTAAGACAATTGAAATCCACTTTCATGTTTTTCAATGAGCGATCCTCACATCCGTCGACCGTCGACTGTGTCAATATTTCTGCCTCGGCTCGCCAGGACTAGGCGGAAGATGTCGGGAAGAGTCGACTTCTGTGTCCGGCCGGTCGCCGTCGGTAGCGATATTTGACTCTGTGGCCACTCGAAGGATCGAACCTGAGAGGGGAATGACGGAATTTTCCAGACTCCATCCTCGTTTCCTAATCCGAGGGCTCCATTTCCGATTCAGCAAGCTGCTTAGTGGATCCGTTCATGGACTCTCGCAAAATCTTTCATGAGCAAGAGAGAAATTGTCAACGCTCCGGGGAAAACATCCGGGAAGTTCTGCGCAAGACTGCCGTAAGATGTCCGAGCGGTTTGCGGATCCATTCTCTGAGACTGCCGGTCAGTATCGGAGAAGCTCATCGGCACAGAATCACGAGATACCTTCAGCCTTCAGAGATTATTTTGACACCGATTATCCCCTGACACCGGTAGTCGGCAATCAAATGAGCCCCGAACATTCTAAACTCGATTCTTTGGCCGTGGTGCTTCCCGTGCGTTCACTTTTCGTCCATTGTTCGGCGACTTAGTGAGCGGCTTATCGCGAACGGCACCTGGGAAACCGTTGACCGAGAAACAGGTCATGCATGGTGTTGAGCAGTTCTGCGCAGAAACTAGGTGAAATATCACGGAAATCACCTCCGTCCATATTCTGGGAGGAGTTCCGTACGTAATTCGGTGAGCAGGATGACCCGCCTTCGACACAGGATGACCTTCGATTGGATAGCACCGATACTTTAAATGAGTAGAAGCGAAAACAGAACATGAGTCATCCACGAAGAAATGAGAAAAAGACGAGGAGCGAAAAAGCAGGCCGAAGAGAATTTTCCTCCGACAAGCAACGAAAATATTGTTCGAAGCTTGCGGAGTCGTGGTTCCCTGGGTGAGCATCCAGCCAGATAGTCAAATAGCGCGCCAGTCAGTCACTCAAAGAAAGCAACCCTTGCTCAACGTTTCAGTGGCAGACCACGTTTCGGTCAGGAGCTTCGGATCCCTCCGAAGCGAAGATTCTCTTCCACTGCGCTGCGTCCGAGGGTCACCCATGTAATGGAATTACAGCAGCGTCCATTGTTGAGGCATTTTCATGCTGTGCGAGAGTGGGGTCGAAATACCATTCTTCGATCAGAATAATCCTCTCTACATTAGAGCTCCCCGACTATCAAACGGAAAATTCGACGCCTCAGTGACAGTCAATCTTTTCATTAGCTGAGAGAGGCGCATGCCGAGTTCGCACGCATTGAAGACCTCTCTCCGATCCCTGGAGCCTCTAGTCTCTATTTTCCCCGGGATGAGCCTTTCTCTTACCGTCGAGTAGGCTCCAGGAACACCCTCCCGGCGAGGGAGCGAATCTTCATGAACGAGGATCAGCTGAGCCTCATATCACGCTATTCATAATGGCGGGTTCGTGTCTACGGGAACGTCTTCGCACCGATTCATCGACATCCAAGGCCGACAGATTTCCGCGACGTGCGAAGAAATTTCGGATTGACCCGCAGCGAGGGAAAACAGGATGAATCCGCTCAGGGGCGGATAAGTTTCCTTACGCCGCTTCTGCGACAGTCCGTTCCGATTCTCCGTTTTCTAAGCTCCCTCAGGATGTGAAGTTGTCGATCAATACGGGTCTTCGCGAGTCGCGAGGCTCGATTTCCCTGCCAAACACCCAAACGAAACGCAGAACTGAGATCCTCCAATGCTGTACTGCCGCGGCGATGACTCCGTGATTTTGCACCTAGCAAGTGAATCCGAACTCGGTCTCCGAGCCCACACACGACGAACGTAACCGGAAGCTCAGTCAGTTCTGCGACCACCAGAGGCTAGTATCCCTCCCTAGGCCAGATCCTCATCAAACTAAATATGTTTATCCTGGATTTAAGATTGATACATAGATCAGAGACCCACTCTTGCTCGAAGGATTACACATAATATAAAGAGCTGGCTACCTTTACAACAAGATGAGCTACATCAGTGTCCGAATGCGCGAATCAGCGCTTCCTAGTCCAATCAGGCGGCGGCTCCACGTAGGGTAAAGTTTGTCCGACAGATCAGCTGATATACTCCTGTCTACATATTTCGAAGACGGTCGCTTGAAAGTGCTCCAGTTGCATCACCGCTGACCGCCATTTCCTGGGCCCATGTCAAAACACCGCAATCAGACTAGCGCCGACGTGCGAATCGGAGTGAACTTCTTCCGCCGACACTTCCGACTGCCCCAACTCTCACATATCGATGAGTGACGTCAGCGATAGGTAAGGATCGGAAAACCGCTGAGAATTAGTGCGATCCGAACCTGCGCTCAACGTTGTTGCGATTCGAAAGCGCGAATCGAAAATGTTTTCGATACCGATGTTTCCGCGATAATCGTCCAATCAAGTTCTTGGACTTGATACCGGCTTTGACGGAATCGGGTGCTCACTGAACCCCAAACGCTCGAGTTCTGCGTCGTTTGGAACCGATGGAACGAAAATTGTGCTCGCGCGAAAACCCCCTGAGCAACGATCCAGTTCCACTCGAGCGTTGACTACTGTTTCCAAGGCGAGTTCATGCCGGCGCCGGCAGCGCGACTCGATGCGGAAAATGTCTTTCGGTCGACGTCAGAAAATGCGAAGAACTTGTCCCTGAGTTGCCTCCGGGGACCGTTTGCCTTTGACGCGGACTGGTCCCCTGTCCCGAGCCAAGACCGTTAACTGATATGACGTGAATGCCCCATGAAATTCCGGAGAGAAAACGAAAACTCGAATATTCTACCGAGTTTCACGACAGAGTCCGTCGAAGACTGCCGCCTTCCGTTTCGTATCTGGCCCAGAGAAGCGACGGACTTTCGGTTGAGGTCCTTCGACTAGAAAGAGTTCTTTGTTCTTGGACAAGAAGAGATGTCGTCGTGACCGCTGGTGGCACCATAGTCGTTGTCGTCGATTCAACAAGACCTTTCGTCGCCATGTTGAAAGCTGCTCGCCAACCAGGTCGCTTAGTGCTGCAGCCGTCGATGACTCACCACGAAAGGCAAGCCCTCACCTGATCCGCAGCGTTCAAGCAGCGCCACTCGGATCGCTGCTGACTAACGAGGCTCGGCAGTGGCGGAGAAGGGGGGTTATGAGGGGGAGCGGACCGAGCCTGATTCCGAATGCCTATCAGTCAACACGAGCGTACTGTCATACACTCTGGAAAAATCCCGAGTTCTTCCGGACGGGGGTCTGTGTTCTTGCGGGGCTCCATCCTTGAAATGAGACGACTGCCGAAACGCTCAGATGGATCACGGCTGGAATACCCTCTTGAGGAGAGGTCCGACTGGCGATCGATGGAAGTCCGACCTGGTTGACAGCAGCCCATGAAGGATCAGATGGAAACGCGGGACAGGGTACAGGGAGAATTCCCTCGGCATCCTACAGCATTCCGACCACGATCTGGACACGATGTTTGGAACTGGAAATGCCGTGACCGAAAACTTCTCCGAGGGATTTTCCGATGCGACGTCTTGCTTAGAAGGAAAGGCTCTTTTTCCTCCGATAGGGGTTCCGCCCGGGCTTCTCCAGGAAGGCATTGGGTGAGCAAAGCGAGGGAGCACCGACGATGAAGGACACAAAGTCCAATGACGCGGGGTACGGAAGCTCCCGACGAAGTACCGACGCTACGATCCCTATTATTTCTGAGAAGTATAGTTGAATCGCCGCTTCCGTTCATGAAGAGAAGCGTGGCCGCTTCGGTGATCGCGCTGGTCTCCGAATGTCGACAGAATTTATTCACAACCGTGTTTTCAAAATCCCAATGTCCGTCTGAGGCGACCCGGAGTGAAAAATGTTTCACGCGGGTTCGCGAACTTTCGATCAAGCGAGCTCAATCCCGAATGAGACTCGCAATTCCCGAAGGTCACAGCCGGAATATCTCTATTCGGCAGACGAGTCGGGCTCGCCCCCGAATTCTCGGCCTACAACTATTAAAAATCTTCCCCGCGGGTTTGGGTCGCACGCGAGTCAGATATGATGAGAATCCAGAAACAAGATCCTCATCCTGTGGATTAGCGCTCACAGGAGCACCCGATGAGGCGTAATTGAAGAAAAACGTCGTCGCTCGAATCGACTGGAAGATCGTACCAGGTCACTGACGTACGATGGTGAATGGCTATTATCCTCTCCGGCTTGTCGTCTTTGTCAACTAGGGCTTGCCTCGTTTCGGAGCGCCGCCATTAGCCCCAGCGCAATGAGGCAAATGACTACCTTCCCCAGCATTGTTGAAGTCAACGCCCAGAGCGCCGGGCAAGTTTGCGCTGCCGCCTTGGGCAGCGGCGTCTTGACACGCGAGTCTCCGTGGCTGCTGACCTACTGCGTTGCCCATCCGTCGAATGATGCCTCGGCGATACAAATATTCCGATGATCCGGGAAACCGTATTTACGTGTAAACGTCGACACACTGGGCGATGGATCATTACCTAATCTTGGCGTCGATCATCGCGGTGATGAGAGTGACGAAACTAGCAGATGATGTCAACGATGTCAATGTTGCGTCCCGCTGACATGCTCGTGGACGCTATGAAAACCGTTACGCTAAAAAATCCCGCTCCCACGACCATTAGATATTCATTCAGAAAACTGTTTCGGGAAGGGAAACGTCGCCGTATCCGCACAGCATCCCGGAGCCAGAAGATTCCCCAGGTGATCACTTGACTCCTGATGGGTTTTCCGTTGTTGTCGATCGCCCGGGAGAATATGACTTCGGTTTCTGGATTGCGGACTCTTACCTGGCGGAAAATACGGGGAACATCGACAGAATTGGCTCATCCGCGAACAACGGGGAAAAAAGTTCGATTTTTATGATTTGCGAAATCCGATGAGGGAATGGGACCTTCAACAACCATCCGCTTATTGAAGAGTCGTCTCTTCGTCCGCAATGGTTTTCTTTTTCTGCTGTGATGCACCTCCGTTCTTGACATCGCTACTCAAGCCGATGCCGCCCTGGCCGTGGATAGGTTTCTTCATGGAATCAAGCAGCGGTGATCGTGGATTTTCTTTCTGAGCTCGAAAGTGTTCCATGAATGCTGCTGTTGTCATCGCAGACTTCTTCCGAATGCGGGAAATTCGTGGCGAGCCGGCGGCTCTGCTTCTCCACCGACGGTCGGGGAGAAATCTTCGCACGAGCCGCGGGATGGAGACAGAAGCGAAGAGATGAAAGGGTCCCGTTGAAAGCCCATCGCGAATCAATAAAATAGTGTTATCTACTTCACAAGTGGTCTGACAACGAACATTATCGCCGATTTCGTAAGAATCAACATTTTTGTCCGACCCCTTTCGGAATCACGTTCGATCCGGTCAAGATGGTGCTGGCTGTTCGCGCCTGCAGAACGGAAGTTCGCCGAATCGTTTGTTCAAGTCAAAAATCACAGGCTCGGTAGCGGATGACTGTCGGAGTCAGGCCTCCGAGTCTGCTGGAACACTCTCGGAGCGCTGTCGGGCAGCGAGGTCTTCTAACACGTTATTTACGTTTCATTACAGAGTGCGCGGAGCATCCCCCGGCCCTCGCGGATGCTGAGTCAAGGTGGCGCCCGTCCGAAAACTTCAATTGCTGCATTCCTTCCATCCAGGTGAGCGATGTTTATGGTCGGTCCCAACCGACGTAATCGAAAACGATTTTCATCATTTGGTGCATTTTGAATTCAGATCTTCTATATCGCATCCGATCGAGCTCGGATGTCGGAACGAAAGGATGATCGAGTGATTGTTGCGATCATCCAGTGGTGGACTATCCCGCCTTGCAGAATGCCAGGCAGTGTTTCCCAGAGTTGTCCCCCGGGGATTCATGGCGATTTTTCATCGGAGGGGTCCACCGGGTTCATGTATCTGATGCTCACAATACATAGGGGGTTATTTGGGGTCCACGGCTTTGGGGAGCTTCGTGCAAGAGCAACACCATTCGATGTCAGCAATACCGTTTCATAGAACGGAGTTTCTTCGAAAAAACGAATGCCTCCCGATGGGACGAGGTCCGGGTCCGATTCCGGCTGATGCAGGTCTTCAACGAAATGTAGCAAGATCCGTCACGTTGCACGACAAGCTGCCGCGGTTTCTCTCCTCAAACTGTCCCGCAAGCGACGCCTTCCCAGCGATACCAGTGAAGTCGTAGATAAAGGGCAGAGCTCAGGGAAAAATATCATTATCGCCTGAAGGATTCGCCATTGAGACGGAGCTCTCGTCGCATTCGGTACACAAGAGCAACGGATATTTTGTTTGAGTCCAGCGGAAACCAGCCCCCGAGCCGGAATCAAAATATGCTCTACTCGTACACTAATTGTCCTCGAGGATCCCATGGAAACTCGCTGGGAGCTCATACGATTCTCGGGAAGGATTTCGAAGGCTTCCTATCAGACCGGGAACCGAGGCAACCAGATGCTGTGGGAAACCTGCTGAGCCACGAAACAAGCAGCTCGTTATTTTTGAGAAAGCTCCGCTGACGAGAAAATCCCTCTTCCGTTTAGATCCACATCAAGCGGATGTCAGAGTGGAGAAAGCGGCCCTACGTCCCTGGAGACGGAATCGGCAGATATCCTTCTGGGCAGCCGTGTATACGTAGACGGCAACATGGTCGGTGTATTGAGGTGAGTTTCATCTAAGGGTGGAGTCGGACTCTGCAGACTTTCCAAAATGAGGGGCTCACACGGAACCTACGTCGTACAAGTGCTTATTACGCTGAGCTAGTCTGCGGAGCTTCAACGCACCTGTCTCGCGACTCGCGACCAGTTTCGGCATCCTGACAGCGCTTGGTTTATTCTTCAGGCTACCGACAACCGATCGTAGACTATTCAAACTATTCCATCTGTTTCGAGGAACCCCATCGTGGTTCGATACGACTGTTCGATGAAGTCGGACAATACCCGAATGAATAGATCCCATCTTCCAGATACTTGGGTCTCATACCTGGAACGGCGGGAACTTGGTGTGGCGTAGAACTTGAAGAGCCGATCGGCAAGAATGACGGCGAGAAAAATGGCCGGCGATATTTCCGATGTCCGCCCAATCATGGCATATTCGTTCCCTTGGCTAAGGTACAGTAGCGCTCGTCGGCTCCTCCAGTCCCGTATTCGGTTACGTCCGCGGTTCTCTTCTGGCGTCGGAGTTCCCAAGTGGTTCTTCATTTGAAATCGTGTGAATAGTCTATCGTTGGACCATCGACGATTTCTTGACATTTGCAGGTTTCTACGCTGTCCCCGGAAAACTCACGGGGTCACAGTCGTGCCTTGACAACTTCGTTATCGGGTTCCCTGACGTCATCCCTGTCTTCGACGACGGGTGCATCCAGCTTTAGGAAAGAATTGCGCATAGAAGACTACTTAGAATCTAAATCGAAGGTACAGCTGAGATTTCCGCCAAAGGTCGTCTAGTGGTCGCTGGAACTCTCCCCAGCCCGACAATCGGTCCGGTGTTCCAGTGCACAGCTCAATTGGTCCCGTCTCTTCCACAGGCCAAAGAAAACAAGAAGGACTCACTGCAGAAATTCAACGAGCACGCAAGCCCGAAGACAGTTCAGAGGTCACTGGTCCTCCGCAACCAATTCCGTGATGAGCCCTGTCCATCAGAGGAGGAGGAGGACGAAGACGATGAGGTATTTCCGCGACGATCCAGATTTTCCGAAGTGAAAGTCGACCGAAGATCCTTGATCATATTCCCTGAGGCTCTCGGCTGTGAGCCCGATGCCAGAAGAAAATAGCCACCCAATTCGAATAGAGCCTTTGTGCCTAGTAGATTGATTTCCTTTTCTTCCCCCGCGTTTCTACCTCGCTATGCTTAGGACAGATGGACTCTTTCTATCAATCAGCAATCGAGAAATAGTTAGCGTAACTGGCGTCGGACGCATGCACCGTAGACGAATCCCGCCTATTTGGAGATCCTTGTTCTTTTTCCAGTATTACGCAGGACACATTTCGTGTGTCAATTCACAGATCAGCCAGAAAGACCGTAAACAGATTACATCGTCACTGTCGTTCGGCCTCCAAAAACTCGTGCAGCGCCAGGTACGTATACAGCAGAATTCCCAGCTTGTTAGGAATTGAACACTGATTCCTAGCGAGATCCGATTTATTCTGTTCGACTTTGAACTCCAATCAGGGAATCCCGAGAGCATCAGAAATTCAAAGTCCACTGATTGAATCGCCCGTCATGTTCGCTGCTGCGAGCCGCCGAGCTCCCAAGCTCCGCAGAGGAGAAAGTGTTCCCTGACGGAAGCTGTAGTGACACCTAGATTTCAAGTGCAGCCCCGGGTCTATGAATTCTTCCACATCAGCGATTCGCTTCCGGCTCGGGACCTTTTCTAATGTGAATGAATTCCAATGTCTTCAATGTTCTTTTTTCAGGCGCCAGTGAGATCGAAGAGCGAGGATAACTGCATCATGAAAGAGCGGACATCTGCTGAAGACTCAGAGGTAGGTTTCGCGATGAGCCAGCCCCTGCACAGATCAGAGATTTCGATCGATTGAGAAAACTGTAAAGGTACGCTGGGAGGACGAGCCGGCGAGCGCCAGTGTAGGGGAGGGGACCGGAACGACTCCTGGGATTCGCCCTCGAGTTGTGGAAGAAGTCGGATTCTCGGAAAGCGACCGTCTATATGCAGCCCTTGTAGATTAAGGAAGCATGATTTCCCCATTTGAAATGGTTCCATTGTGCCATAACTCGAAGGTCCATGATTGATTCTTTTGCAGGTGGCTCAAGTAACAGCTGTAGCGGTGGCCACTAGTGGAACGGCTTCGTCCACGAACGACAGCTCTTTATCGCCCATTCCGGAAAAAGATGACGATCTCCCTGGCTCGCAGGTGATTCTCTTTCCAATTTCGATTCATTTTCAACAATGGGTCTCAACCCTTGTATCTGACTGCCTCGAATATTTGGAGCTTCGGTACAGTTTCGGAACAGGGACGATTCAGCTCCCTGCAGTGCCAGATCATCCAACCAGCGACGGAAAAATCGACAACCGAGAGAGAGACAGAAGAACGTAGCTATCGCTGACCAAGGTTCTCACCTCGTTCGATATCTTCCAGGAGAAGAGCTCGAATTTCCTCGAACCGGGTCCAGCAAGCCAGGACGCGTCGCTTTCGCCGATTCAGGAGCTCCAAGATGAGAACGAAGAAGCCACTTCGACTTGTGGAGGGCTCAGAACCAGTGAGATGAAGGTTTGTCGAGTTTTCCCCCATCGATCTCGACGGATTGAATTTCAGAAATGGGAGGATGAGAAGGAAATAAATATGTACCACCTGCAGGACACTCGAATGATACCGAGCTCGACTTCGGTTGACGAGGTGGCGGAATTACCGGAAGAAGGAGAAACTATCTCGTCGGAAGAAATCCGCATCTCGGATAATGTGTTCGACATCATTATGACTTCGTTGAGGGAGAACTTCTTACATGACACGAGTTCAGAGGATACATCTTCGCTCGAGAAACCAGGGGCGCAGGGAGGAGGAGCGGGAGGCTGCAGACCGACCTCGGCTGATACGGGTTTTCAGGGGGACTGTGAGTTGGGCGAACCGGGCGGGTCTGGTGGTGACTCCGTTATGAAACAGTCAGTCTGTTCCCAGGATAGCGGCGTCATGTGTGATACGACCGGGCCGCCGTCCTTGCAAAGGTTCGAAACTTTCCATCTCAAGTGCTCGTGAATAGATGTTATGAGGACATAGACAGCCAAGCGCACGACCCCTCTCGGATATTAATTTGATGGAAAGAGAGCGTTCACATAAAAAATCGGAGCTCTCGTGGATTCGAGATTCTTGAAACTCTCGTCTTCTCGTTGAATAGCACCTCAGAAGCAGATTCATGGGATGAATCCTCTTGATTGCAGATCCGTATCGATGCAACCACCAGAAGTTCTAATTGTGCAACACGAAGACGAGCAAGAGACTCCAAGCGACCAGCGGGTGAGCCTGACCAGTGACAATACGGACAGAGATCGACACCTTCAGATTCCTGAAGATTTCCCATGCGACATGATATAACGAGTCTTCCTCATCAAGGCTCTTGGTGAAGACGCGGACCTCTCGGAAGCTGCGGCCGTCTCCACGAGCGAGTTCACGGAAACTGCTACTGCTGACGAAGAGTCGACGGCGGAACGTCGTAAAACCGCTACTCGTCCTAAAGCTCTCCCGACCCCGGTCAGAAAACCGAATGTCAACGTCGGCAGCAAGATCAAGGCCATGCTGCAGGAAACCAAAGAGAGCCCGGTCGAACGGAGACCTCGACCTCAGAGGGTGAGTTCGGCGCGGAGTCCAGCGAATGATTCGAGTCATTGGAGTCTCGGAGAAGCGAGTCATAAAGCCAGAGGGATATGCGGACATGATGAATCGGGTCGCGAGGCACGTGGCCTAACGATGACGCAGGACTCCGTGGGGACGGAGCTACATCGTGGATATTCAACGGTAGAAGAACTGATAGTAATCGGCGGGGTCTCGTTTAGCCCGAAATGTATCGGGGTTCTCTGGAAATAGAATCATTTTGTAGACTCATGGGAAGGTAGAATTGGTAGCCTGTAGCCTATGGCTGTAATCAGAAATGCGCGCGAGGCTTGAGATCACTGAAGGGTGTTGCCGGATGCTGCTATTGTCGCTGTGATGCTTCCAGAAAAATAAATGGGATGAGGTCGAAAAGAAAATCCAACAGAATCTCCAGGAGAAGAAGAAAGCGAAAACCGAGGTGAGTCCGAGGGCGACTCTGCTTGGCACGTTCATCCGAGGGCGACTCTGCTTGGCACCTTCTCCCGAGAATCCTTGGGCTTGGCAAACATCATCTCCGAGGCTTGTCCTTCTCGTGAGCGATGACAAGCCCTCGGAGATTGGATGCATTATGGACTTTCCCTCTCTTTCTTCCCGTTCCTCACTCGACACCCCTCTTCCTTCCCTGTTATTCTGTATCGGGTCAATCTATCGATAGCTCCATCACTGCATTGGATAGGTATAACTCATCGTCTCGCCCGACTTTGAAGTTCCCATCTCTCTAAGTTACCTCTAGGCTTCCGCATGCTTCGTTCAATGCTTTGGGCCTGAGTAGCTCCTGGTATGCTTGGGGCATTCGAAAGCGAACCCGTCGTTGAACGAAGAGGGGGGAAGATTTCTTTCCTGGACCGCCCAACCCCCCCCCTTCCCCGCCAGCGACCAGAATGGACTGCCATCCTGTGCAGGAACTCGCGTTTGGTTCGGCTTATTCCACGGCACAAAACTTTTCTGGCTCTAACATCGACCCCCAGCTGAATTTTCAAACATTCCTCTACCTCCCTCAGGTAAAGAGCAGAATCAACTCAAATCTCGCGGCGGCGAGAGCAGAAGCTCGACGGTCTCCCCGCGGTTCGGTCTGCGGTCAGCGCACGGCAGATCCCTCCGTGTGTGGGGAAATTCCCCGAGAGGATGAACTCGACGAAAGCAGACCAGAATCTCGTGCGTCGAGAGGTAAATTAAGACTGTGAATAAATTCCAGTCCCTCAATTCAGACAGCAGTGAGAGAATATCGGATCCAATCGACACAGTGATGATTTCAATATCCTCCCGACTTGATAATTTTCAGCTCCGCCAACGGCGAAGCCGGGACCCCCAAAGCGCGAATATAGCAGACCTTGGGCCGAGCCGCCTCCGAAAAGTGAGTTCTCCGTCGATTTGTCGAGACACGGAATGGCAGAGCACAACTCTGGTTGCTTTCAATGTAATCATCGTCCGTCTGACATTCGAATCAATCAGAGCAGTTTTTGGTTACGTTTCTCACGAGATTTGACGTTCGCGTCCGTCACGCTTATTCATCCCCGTCCAGAACTCATGAGCACGAAATCAGCTTTAAGTTTCCTCATCGAACCGATTTCAGTGCCAGAAAAATTGTCACCCACTGCGCCTAATCCAGCCGGTAGACCGTCAGCAATTAGAAACTCCAAAGCTCCATCTAAACTTGGACTCAGCAACAAGAGCACAGGTACTCGAGTCCGGGACTTGAGGAGGGGAAAGAACTCCTTTGTCGGAAGTCAGAGTCCCAGCGAGGCCAAATCCAGAGCTCCGCTGTGGAGTCTAATCCGCGCCGAGGAGATGTCAAAATTTCGATCCTATGATGAGTGTCGACCCCAGAGAGAGAAAACGTCGCGAGCTCCCTCCAGCCGATATTCCGCCCAAGCATTAGAGCCCCCACGTGATAAGGAGGCCTCCTACGCTCATTAATGAGGGCTTTTGGGATCGCTGCGTTATTTCTGCTTTTCATTTTCATTGAGCTGCGAAAAAAAGACTATCCACAAGCATAAATGCTCGGACCCTAGGTCGAAGAGGAGCTCGGAAATCCTCGAACTCTGATCCCGTTTCAGACGCCCGGCCTGCCCTGACGAAACCTTCTGCGAGGACGAAAACCGGGAAAGAAGTTATAACAAGTCCCGCAAGGGTGAGTTCTGTCTCAGGGATCCAATCTACTCTGAGGCGGCTGACGATACTGTCTCACGCATCGTAAGATCTCACGTTGAATGAAACTTTCAGGACGAGTTCGATGCTGAGATTCGACGGCTTGGCGCACTATGCGAAACCCGTACCAAAGAGCTCAACCGAGTCCGACTGGAACTCCGTGATACTGCACACGCTCTCAGCGCTCTGACCGTTGCCTTCCAACGGTGGGACGATAAACTCGAGAAGTGAGCTCTTTTTCCCTTCGGGTCGTTTCGATTACGGGACGAATCGAGATGATGAGACACAACTTCCACGACTTCCGCCGCTGCTACCGGAACAGCTGACACTGATTGATTTCGATCCTTGCAGGACGGACACGTACACTCATAAATTGGGTGCTGACTTGACACTCTCCGAAGAGGCGCTCCGGGTCGCGAATCAGGAGATCGAACGTCTCAAGCAGGATGTCAAGGACGAAGTTTCAGCCACGAGACGTGAGCTGGAACAGGCTAAGGAGGAACACGCCGCCAGAACGCGGCAGCTAGAAGAGGAACATTTGCAGAAAATCGCAAAAATCAATGAAGATCAGCAAGCTAGAGTCGACCGCATGAAAGAACAGTTTGCGGAAATGTCTGCCGAGGAGGTGGCATCACGCGGGGAAGAAATGACGAAAATATTCGACAGTCACACCCGCGAGATGGCCGATGTCCGTTCTGCCTACGAACGCGAGCTGCAGAACAAAGCTCAGCTCTACCGTCAGCGCGAGTCTGATCTCGAAAACGCCCTCAAGGTAAAGCAAGAGCAAAAGTTCCGGGGTCACGTTCTCATTTTTTTCCGTGAGCGTTTCATTTGTCGCAGGAACCCTACTCCGGGTCCCAGGAGGTTGATACGGAATTTTATCGCTTCCAGGAACGGAGTGAAGAGTACTGCCGGGTCAAACGAGAAGCCGAGGATTTCCAGCGGAGCGTGCTGCAATCCACCGACTCTAAGATCGCTGTACGGACGATTCGCTGGGCCGAATAATTTAATTTCAATTTTCGAAATGGTTCCTCATCATCATTCTATCATAGAGTTTATGTGCTGATTTGGGAGAGAGAAGTCAAGCTCTGCTGAGGAATAACTCGATCCCGAAGTGACTACAATGCAATTTCAGTGGCTGAGGGAACGGAACGAGTCGCTCATGAAGGAAGTCGATTCGCTGAACGCGGTCATTGAGATGCGCCGTGAAGAAATCGACCGGCTCCGAATCTACGAAATCGAGCATGGACAACTCAAGGATAAACTGGCGCGTAGCGAAGACGCTATGGATAAATACAAAGCTCGCATCGAGGATCTCTCGGCAATGATAGGGCAGAAATTGGCCGTTCAGGATCAGTTGGCTCAGGAAAATGCCAAACTGAAAGAAATCGCCGAACACAAAGATAGACTGATCTCAAACCTCGGCAGGGACCGCGACGTCTTGCTATTCAAGCTCAAAGAGAACAAAGAAGGCCCAACCAGCTCGGCTATGTCAACATCATTCAGTGAGTGGGGATCTGGATTTTCTTCTCACGTCCGATGCGATCTCAGGGGTGTTTCCGGAACGATATCCAATCGCGTTTATCCGAACTTCTCATTCTTTTTCCAGTTGTTGAGGCGCAACCAACTTCCCGGCCTTCGAGAGAGATTCGGAGCGCGGGAAGATCTCGAACTTCTGTGAATTATCAGATGCGCGCTAAGGTGAGCGCTTCTTTTTCGACAATGTCCAAATGATTAACTCCACCGATCGTTTCGAATTTCGAATTCGATGACGGAGAGAACTGACGGAAACTTTCGGTCTCGTCAGGTGGACAGCGCATCAGTGATGTCGCAGTCGTGGCACACAGCGACGGGGCCCGACCTTGGTCTCCAGTCAGGGCTATCGAAGACTGGTCAGAATAAGAAGTCACAACGGGCCAACAGTGCTCACTCGACAGAGGACGGTGAGTCGTAACACGCGTATATTCGTCTCCAGGGAATCCAGCCGTTTTCGTTTCCTAAATGTACGCTATCGTTCTACCTCGGATGGGGATCTAAGTTTCATTTCTCGCCCTCCAGTGAACCGCAATGTCGAGAGCGATTGCCCGCAGGAAGACAATGAACGAATGACAGCGTCAATGTATCATTAGCTTTAAAAAATCATCAACCATAGAAGCCGAGCATCGGCGCCGAAGGAAAGAGGAACTCTTTCTGCACCACGGAATAGCTGATCCGTAACCTCTTTATACTACGCTCCTCCCCTCCTCCCGTTGACCGGTTCTGTGAAGCCTGTTTTAACTTTTTCACTGTACCATCACATAAGGGGTGGGATCGAGCGTTCTCTCCCACCAGGAAACCTTGAGGGAATATTGAGGACTCGATGGGGCAGGGAAAAGACCGACCGGCCCATCGGCCGATCCGACGACACGCCGCTCAGAGACAGACATCCCGATTATTCGTAAGGATGGAGTCAATAGGAGAGTCAACGATGATCGTTGCCGTCACGAAGCGCGCTTTTGTGGTGTGCTGGTGGCATGTCGGTCACCAGAAGAGATTACGATACCTTGTACAGTAGAGAGATATTATATGTGAAAGCAATTTGCGCTCTAGATATTCCGTGATTTTTTCCGCTGCAAATCGCACTTCAGCCTGCCCTCCGCGAATAGGATTTCTGGCTCGGAAACCTTAAAACCAGCGTTGGAATCAGCTTGACTCGGAAGAACTGCGTTTGAGAGAAGGGAATGCATGCCGAGTCTGGGCGATCGGATCCGGACCATCCGTCGTCAGCCACGCAATCCCCGTCGCCGCGATGTATCATCCAATCATCGTCATCATTGAGCCAATTCTCTTCATCATCACCTTCATCATCGGCGAAAGCCAGAAGCTTACGAACGGCACGACCACCCACGGAGGCGTTTCCTAGGCATCCAGGTAACTCCTGTTTCGGAGGGTGGTAGTGTGTTCAGAGTGCTCTCGTACTCCAAATCAACCTGTACCACAAAATTTCATTTGCATTCCACAACGCGCTAGCAAACCCCGGTTAGCCTCCATGTGGAAGACCCCTCGTCTATTTCATTTTGCATTCAATCCATCATCGAACGGACCGACCGAGTTCCCGCATGCCCATTCGATCAGTCATCAAGAACATCCTTCTCATCCTCATCATCGTGCCCAGGGGCAGAACCCGTGATTCATGACCGTGGTACCTGGTCCCGGCTCAGGTTTCTGATTTGCAAGCGAGAGGCTTAAGTACATAAGTTCTTCCTTCTCTCAAGGTTCGTCGAGTGTAGGAAGTCTTCGTTTGGAGCTGAGTCAGCGGGAACTTTGTAAATAAACGACTAGTCACTATGTTACGATCCGTGTGATCCCTCCCTCATTTGCAACGCCTGGGATCGAGAGTTTTTCTTCGAGGTTCGTCGAAGCGTAAGAGGATAATAAATTTTCTAATCGGAAGTTGAGCCGAAGCACGATATGAATGAGGTTTCACTCTATTCCTAGAACCGGGATTTATTAATCACTCAGCATTCATTGCTCTGGCTCAAAACTTGGAAGGAATAGCTGCCCGGTCATAAACTACATCGAAATGCGTACACGTTCTTCCCGTATTTTCCAGACGAGGGATGGACGATAGAGTTATTTCCGATAAAAGTGTTTTCACATGTTCCTCTTGCTCGCAGAGAGCTTCTATGTTCAATGAGCATTTCTTTCGGTGTTGAGCGCCCTGTGATCCCGTTCGCTGACCACGGCGCCGTACTTTGACCTCCCAGAAGCGGCACGATAATCTCAAATTTTAAATAAATGCAAGAGAGCCGGAAGGATGATAGTTGTCGTCGTTAAAATAATGAGATTGCTGTGGTCAAACAGAGGGACCGAGGCAGAGTTTTCTTCACTCCGTAGGAGACGGCTGCTGGCGGACGACGGACGGTGTGCGCGTGACGTCGATTGGACGCGTTGCGATTCTATGATCGTCGGAGGATCGTCGAGCGATGAAGGTGGGAACGATGGCGATGAAGATCGACTCGACTGAGAGATTCCGGAGTTCGCGTAGGATCGCGACTTCGGGCACTCATACGACAACCTATCGCGGGAGAATGGAAACCTTCGTAAGAAAAGGGTTGATGACATAGTCGACATGGGGCCGGGAATGAGCTCCCGGGAATGATTTTCAGCTCGAGCGAGAGTTCAAATCAGATGAAAATCGATGTTTCCAGCACGTAGGCTAGGACCCGGGCGTGACAACGTCGTCTCCCCAAGGGGTCGAACCTGGGAAGGGCCGAAATAGACTCACGAGAAAGAGTTCGCAGAGCATCTGTGGATCAGGAACGCCATCGAGTGATCCATGATTGTTCGAGCACGCGACCCACAAAGTCTGAGCAGAGGTTCGCTGACACAACTCCTGAACTTGGTGTACGCGCTGGAAAAAAGACGTCGACTGAACTAGACTTTCAATTCTCAATTACTCGGAATGCCGCTTGAGCGATTCCCTACAATATCCCTGGACGTGGAGCCTCACGCTGGGTACCGACACTGACTTCGCGCGGATGCTGCTCAGGGTCTCGCATATTCTTATGAGGATCGATATTTTGACGTAGGACTGCGTCCTAGGTCGCACAGATATAGGGTCTCTGCCAAAAGTAAACAAATGCAACGGAAGTAGTGTTACGGATATCGAAACGACTAAGACCCGCCCACCAATCAGGAAGTCCCATCCAGAAGACAATCACAGACCGCCACCGCCATTGGTCAATCCGTTCAGAGACACGCAGCAGACGCTCCAACAAGCACACATATAACAACTTCGGAATATGTACACAAACACCTTGAAGTCTGGCTGGGTGGTTCACCCTTACCGACGGGTGGTCGAAAGGTTATAGCGTTTGACACTCCTCGTATAACGTGCAATCCCGCCACACAATAATACAGAGTCTCATTGGCATGGGCACCCCCGAAACGCAGCAGACGCTCCAACAAGCACACATAACTACTTTGGAATATGTACTGCCATTCAGTCAATTCCTCACGTCGGGGCCCTATACCGGCGCTCTTTTCAACAGGGTGGTTGAGAGAGCCAGTACAGGCTTGCGCCATGTTGACCTCGCAATCGTCAGGGAGACCCCGGACTCAAACCCCGGACTCATCTCGCCAGACATGGATGCTGAGGCTCGTCGTCCGTATCGTGAGCAGGCAATTCAAGAACGCTCACCTCCCAGGCCCCGCAACCGCGCGGAATGTGTTGCCCGCAGGGAGCAAATGGGGAGGCCAGTCTCTGAGCCCTCTGCCAGTCCGGAAAAGCTGACCAAACAAACTCACCGTCTGCAATCGGAACAAAAGGGGGTGCCCATGCCAATGAGACTCTTTATTTTACCAAACCACTGTCTGTTGAGAGAAACGAAAAGGGAAACAGAAAAACGAGAAATGGGAAACGCGACACGACCGATGCTCGCAATAAAGACCGCGAAGACGAGCGTGAGCTATCTGTAGACCTTTTGAGTGGTTAGAATATCTTCTCCCCACTATGAGCCCTAAAAAACATGTCCTGATTTAGAGGGCGAAAGGCGTTCAATTTGTGACGACTCCGAAGCGAGACTCGATCGAATTACGAAGACGAGCGCTGGGTCTGGAAACGGTCACCGAAAGGTGCCGGTATGCGCGCACGAAGCCGCGTTTGGCGGCAGGAGCCGTATCGGTGATACTGATACTTGTGGTGGTAATCTGCATCGGTTAGTAGCGTATTTTTCTCCCTCTCTCCTATTGTGGTTTGCTTGTATCATTCTAAGTGATACACTGTGTGATTCCGTTATTTCAACTAGTGAAAGGCTCGCAACAGACGGATGTCCCCAGAGAGGTAGACATAAAGACGCCCAAGCCAGACAAATCGTCGGCGGCATCGATTCAACGTTCGTTAGGAAAATCGACAAACACGAAATTTTAATGAATCACACATATTTCTGTTATCACTAACCAAATTTTCTCTAGATACATGAATAAATAAAAGCCCCTGACGCAGTCCTACGAGTCTCCTTCTCCAGTCAGAACTGAAAACGCAGGGCACCTGCAATTTTTTTTCCATCATTAGCTGCTTTTGTTCAACGAGTACGGAGAAGAACGATTTACGGTTTTCCTCAGCAGCGGCGGCAATGGAGCTCAATTACCAAAACTCGGCTCTGGAGATAAAGATGTGGTGGCGTAGGTCTGAATTTCCCAATTCTCTTCGAAAGAAGTCCAGGATGGGATTCGAGATGGATTAGATGGAAACTGGATCGCTGTCGGGTGAGGCTTCCTGGAATGGTGGCGAAAAAAAAACAAGCTTGAGAAGATCACAGCGCGTTAATCCTCGTAGGGCCTGGAATTGGTGTCTAGGCGGCTGATGTCCCTCCTCCTTCTCCTCTTCCTCTTGCTCCTCTTTGGAGGACAGTCGAGTGGGAAACATTGAGTCGAGAGCTCACGCGTCCACAAGACTTGACGGCACGAGGAACCGTTGGAAGTGAGAGGATCTAAATTTAATTAGGAAGACGGCTACTTCTTCTGCCGGCAATCCAGTCGGCGTGGAGCGTTCGGGAGGATCAAACTCGGTGGTCAGAGGAACGAACGGAAGAAGCTCCGGCTGAACTCTTGCGTTGAAACGGCGACCGGCGGCTCGTTCGCTCCGGGGTAACTTATCTGGCCGGATCTGTGGGCTCTTGGCGAATCTCAACTCTTCAACTCGAAATTAGAGAACGCGATTTCGAGAAGGAAATACTCTGCTGAAGAGTCTGCGGAGATTCTCTCGAGAGAGAGATCGGCTGCCGTTTCGCGCTAGGGCTGTTGCTGGCGGAGCGGGCTCGAATTCTCCAAGTCGCTCCGGAAGTTTTCACAAAGTCTAGATCAATTCGATCTTATCGCCTAAACCAATAGAATTCGCATGCCATGTCTGAAAAGTGAATCAGCGAGTGGCGGCATGCTCTGTCTTCCCATTCGATTGTTTCCCGAACGTGACGAAGATGGTGATGACGAGAAGTAAAAATGAAGGCACAAAATTGCTAAGAAGGCAAATGGATCTCTCGGACAAGACCAAATACACAGGAGCTAAACGAGAGTAGATTGCGCTACGAGGATACAGTCAAGGAGATGCGTCCGATGCAAGAAACAGAGGAAGAAAATGGATCGGATG